GGCAATGAGGGCTGCAGGGTGGCCTAATGGGTAATGCCTTTGAGTACGTCGAGGACAAGCAAGGCCTGGACACAGAGGAATCCAACCCATACCTCCCATAGGTAAATGGGGCTGTTATTCTGTTATTGTTCCAGCTCTACTTTAGAAATTCAATACTTTAGGGAACAATTTATTTCTGCAAACTCTATTAGCTTTGCGCAGTTCTCAGTTGATACGGCTAAGGTAGTTTTTCTATTACCATGTTACATGGAGATGTACTTACCATTCTATACTGCATCTCTCTCCACGTATCTCATGAACAGATGCATGTAGTGCCTTACTGAGTAGACACACCAGCTTGTTTTTTAAATTTCAAAACAGCTAATAACATGTCTCCTTCTGAGATGCTTTATATCAAACTTCTTTTTTTTTAATTTAGAAATTTACTCAGTTTAATCTACAAGCTTTATATAGCTTTAGATAAAACACACACACACACACACACACACACACACACACAGCTGAAACCGGTTTTGCTCAGTGGATAGAGCATTTCCCTGCAGACTGAAGGGTCCCAGGTTTGATTCTGGTCAAGGGCATGTACATTGGTTGCAGGCACATCCCTTGTGGGGGGTGTGCAGATTGCAGGTGGTTGATGTTTCTCATCGATGTTTCTAGCTCTCTATCCCTCTCCCTTCCTCTCTGTAAAAAATCAATTAAAATATTTAAAAAAATAAAAATAAAAAAACATGCAAAATCAACAATGTAACAAAAACAAAAACCAGTGAAAACAAGACACTATTTCAAAGTCTGGGCCCTTGTGACCTTCCAAATACAAGAGTTCTGAAGTTGTATATGACAATTGGAAGAATAAGACAAAATTATGAATGGAGCCATGACATTTCAAAAAACAAAATTGATGTAGCTAAAATGTGTTTGAGCTTTAAACTATAACATTTGTTGTAATAATTGCTAGGTTGAAGTTCACCATGCAAAAAAGGGCATGGGTTTACATTGCAAAAGGTGTCCACATGCATTAGTGACATTTCTTTACTGACAGCTGACATAAATTCATTTAAAGTGAAATATTTTAAGCCAAAAAAAGTTCCCTTTTAAAAAAAGGAGCTTTAAATATTGTTGACATTTTTTATGGTTTCTTTAAATGCCCCTGGCTATTCCCAGAGGTTTTTTTCCCTTTACTTTTTCTCATTTGAGTCTTAGCACCCATTTAAGTTATGATGCTTCCAACCTTGCATGGCTTGCAATTGCCCAGAAATAAGACCACTGTTGAACTACTACAAAATTATAAATGAACCTTTTAATGCCACCATCTTCCCTGTTGCCTGTGGAGTCTCTGCTGAATCAGGATCAAGCTCCAGAAAGAGACAGAAAATGTTTGCCAGGACGCTGTGGGTTAATACTGATGTATATCAAACTTTTCAAATTAATTTTTTATTGTTTAAAATATCACATATGTATCCTTTCCCTCTCATTGACCTCTCCCCAGCTGCTCCCACCCTCAGCACATGCCCTCATACCCCTACTGTCTGTGTCCATTGGTTTTGCTTATACTCATGATCTCTTACCCCTCTTTCCAGCCTCCCCCACAATTTTCCCTCTGAGGTTTGATGGTTTATTCAATGCTTCTATGTCTCTGGACCTATTTTTGTTCATCAGTTTATATTGTTCATTATAGTCCACATATGAGTGAGATCATGTGATATTTATATTTCTTTGACAGCTTATTTCGCTTAGCATAATGCTCTCCAGCTCCATCCATGCTATTGTAAATGGTAAGAGTTCTTTCTTTTTTATAGCAGCATGGTATTCCATTGTGTAGATGTACCATTGTTTTTTAATCCACTCATCTGCTGATGGGCACTTAGGCTGTTTCCAAATCTTAGCTATTGTAAATGGTGCTGCTATGAACATAGGGGTGCATATATCCTTTCTGATTGGAGTATCTGATTTCTTGGGATATATTCCTAGAAGTGGGGTGACTGGGTCAAATGAGAGTTTCATTTTTAATTGTTTGAGGAAATCCTAACTCTTTTCCACTTTATAACAAACTTGACTTGAAAACTATTAATCTGCAAACTGTCTTGACCTCCTGTTATCAGGGAAGTGAGTGGTAGTAATTAAGATCTTCCCCTTTAACTTTGAAAGAATGGAATCTGCAGATGTAGGCCCGAAAATTCTACTGCCAATGACCCTGACTCCATTAATATTCGTAACCAAGAGAGGCTCCGTAAGGAGGAAGTGGCAGCTGTGGCTCCTCTGTCGCGATGGAGGCAGGTCGGTGTCGCTTTCAGATCTACAAGAAGGTAGCGTTTGCCTTTGTGTAAACTGAGGCAGAGTAACAGAGAAACATCGATGACATAAGACAGGATCGGCTCTTTCTTCAGTGTGCAGACTTCAGTGTGAATTCCTCGGTTTGTGGATTTAACACAGCTGTTCATTCTGTACATGTAATGTCTGTACCTGATGTTTCTATGTGATATAACTTGATTCTTAGCTCCATGTTAAGAACTTCATAAATATGTTTAAATGGCTCTATGATTTGATTGGTATAGGAATACTTTTCTTTTTGTCTAATTGTTAGACCTTTCAAATTTACCAAATAATTTTACTCTGTAATTAAATTAAAAAGACCCCTTGGATCTGGTCATTTTGTGTTCTGTGCTGTTTCCTTCGAAGAGTAGAATGATAGTGTTTCAACTAGTGGTCTGTTATGCCTCTTGATAAGTTGATTAAAAAAGGTGTATTTCTGATATGTTACAAAAGGGCTTAAATCTCTAACCTAAGAAAAAAGATTTTGGTTTTATTTTATTATTTTTTTAAAATATATTTTATTGATTATTTCACAAAGAGGAAGAGAGAGGGATATAGAGTTAGAAATATCTATGAGAGAGATCATCTATCAGCTGCCTCTTGCACACCCCCTACTGGGGATGTGCCTGCAACCAAGGTACATGCCCTTGACCAGAATCGAACCTGGACCTTCCAGTCCACAGGCCGACGCTCTATCCGCTGAGCCAAACCGGTTTCGGCATGGTTTTATTTTTTATATTTAAATCTTTATTTTTGGGAGTGTTACAGATGTGCCCTCTTTCCTCCCCATTGCGGAGCGGGGGGGGGGGGGGCAGCTCAGGAGGAGGAGCATGTGCCTCTTCCAACCGGTTCCTGCCCCGCCCCAGGTCTTCACCACCTTATTGTCTGTGTTCACAAAGAATGCTTATGGCATAAATGTTCTTTGGTTAATCTCTTCCCATCCCCTCACCTATTCCCTCTGAGATTCCTCACTCTGTTCCAGGTTTCCAGGCCTCTGGTTCTACTTTATTCATCAGTTTATTTTGTTCACTAGATTCCTTATTTATTTTGATTTTTAGAATCAATTGTTGATAAATATTTACTTCCCTTTTTTGTTGTTGTTGTTCATAGGTCAACATTCAACCACTGAGCCATGCTGGCCAGGCCCCTAATTTTCTTGATGTTTAGGAGTTTTCAAATCTAACACCCACTTATTTTCCCAACCTTATTTCCCATTCTTCCCCTTTGTTCATTGTTCACTTCAGCTGACCTGGCTTGGTAATTTTTTTCCTGTTGGGAGAGTTGTTCATGTGCTGCAACTGTTGATCTGTCTCCTCCCTTCCGCTGCCTCCATACCACCTGCCCCGAATTCCCCCGCTGGCAGCGGTCTCTTTTGAATGCCCGTAACCCTCTGTAGTTCTCTTCCTTATAGCACTTCTCATTTCCACCTACCGGTACTTCCGGTGTAAATATATCTCACTCTCCGTTTCCTAGAGGGCTCGTGAGGATCTGTGCTAGTTCTTCCTCTCTCTGTGCCTGCTCTAAGGAAAGGCCACGGGAGCACACAGCAGAAGGAAAGAGCACTTACCAGAAAAATGAATTGGCTGGAACCTTGACCTTCGGCTTCTAGCCTCCATAACTAGAAGAAAATAAGTTTCTGATGTGTGAGCCACTTAAGTCTACATTTTATTATTGCTGCTGGCACAGAATGAGAGACGTGTGCCCTGAAACAAATTCAGAAATGAAAACGACCAGATAAACTAGAGGACACACAAATCAAAGTGATAACCTGCTCACTACACTGCCTGCTGCCTGCTTGTCTGCTCCCCAACAGGGCAGAGACCATGCTGGCTCCCCAGCCCCTCCATGTTCCCCGCAGATCACTGCCGTGGCTGTAAAAACAGGAGAACCTGAAGGTCAGCCAGGCTTTGGGAAGCTAACGTCTGAGATTCGCTCTGTTCTCAATAGCCCAAAACGTTAGCCACGCGCACAGCAGAATTCAATCCCAAAGTCAAAAGGTTTTCCTTGAAAATAGACTTAATTTTATTCAAATTAGAAATATCTGTCGCTCTCTGCCAAACCACCTCCAAACAAAGGTATCCTCTGGACAAATGAAAAAAATTTCCTAGGGAAAAATTTTAAAGATAGTAAAAGAATACTTCACATTTCTTTAATGGAGATCGATCGATCGAAAGTTACATAATCAGAAAGTGTTAACCTCTGACCTGTCCACAGGTGTGTGGACCATTCCCTGGGAGGGAAAAGGGAGGGGGGACTCGCAATCACCACTGAGATTTGAAGTTGCAGAAGTTCACATCTACACTCAGTTAACACAGAGTGGCAGGTGAGCCGAGGAGAACCGAGAGGCAGAGGACAGGGCGTTCCTTCTGAGAACACCTATCTGTGTTCAGCTGAGCAGGAACAGGCCGAGAGTAAAAAATCAACGTTCTATGATCGGTCACTTTAAAGACAAGCTCCGTTCCTTCTGGCACTACTGACATTCCACCACGCTAGCTTCCAAATTCTAGAAAAAGGTAAAAAGATTAAAAACAGAGAATGGAGGAACTGTTGCCCGTGCCTGGAGGAAGGGAACACAGTGCTCTGAGCTCCATCTGCCAGGCAGCACCGCGGGCAGGGCCCTGGCCCCTGCTCCGGGCTCCGCGGGCTCCGCACGCTCCGGGCAGCTCCGGCAGGGCTCCTGGGAAGCCGGGCTACTGCGCCATCTTGCGGATCATGTAGTTGAGGATGCCCCCGTTGTGGAAGTAAGTGAGCTCCACGTCGGTGTCAAACCTCATGACGGCCTGGAAGGTCTTCCCGGTGTCCAGCTGGGAAGATAAAGGAGCGGAGAAGCGTCACTGGGGAGCAGGGGGCAGCTCAGGAGGCGGAGCGTGTGCCGCCCCGGGTCACCGGGGAGTGGCCTGAGTGGACCGCACACTGGCACTGCCTGGGGACGTGGGGGCCTCAGGCCCGCCCAGACCCTGACTCAGACGCTGCATTTTAAACATCCCCAGCGACTCATCCACATGGGAAGGCACTGCAGGGTGAGTGATGGACAGGAGAGGCACTGAGAGGCACTGGGTAATGGACAGGAGAGGCACTGAGGGTGTGAGTGATGGATGGGAGAGGCACTGAGGGTGTGAGTGATGGACGGGAGAGGCACTGAGGGTGTGAGTGATGGACGGGAGAGGCACTGAGGGTGAGTGATGGATGGGAGAGGCACTGAGGGTGTGAGTGATGGACGGGAGAGGCACTGAGGGTGTGAGTGATGGACGGGAGAGGCACTGAGGGTGTGAGTGATGGACGGGAGAGGCACTGAGGGTGTGAGTGATGGACGGGAGAGGCACCGAGGGTGAGTGATGGATGGGAGAGGCACTGAGGGTGTGAGTGATGGACGGGAGAGGCACTGAGGGTGTGAGTGATGGACGGGAGAGGCACCGAGGGTGTGAGTGATGGACGGGAGAGGCACTGAGGGTGTGAGTGATGGACGGGAGAGGCACTGAGGGTGTGAGTGATGGACGGGAGAGGCACTGAGGGTGTGAGTGATGGACGGGAGAGGCACCGAGGGTGTGAGTGATGGACGGGAGAGGCACCGAGGGTGTGAGTGATGGACGGGAGAGGCACTGAGGGTGTGAGTGATGGATGTGAGAGGTATTGAGGGTGTGAGTGATGGATGTGAGAGGCACTGAGGGTGTGAGTGATGGACGGGAGAGGCACTGATGGTGTGAGTGATGGACGGGAGAGGCACTGAGGGTGTGAGTGATGGATGTGAGAGGCACCGAGGGTGTGAGTGATGGACGGGAAAGGCACCGAGGGTGTGAGTGATGGACGGGAGAGGCACCGAGGGTGTGAGTGATGGACGGGAGAGGCACTGAGGGTGTGAGTGATGGACGGGAGAGGCACCGAGGGTGTGAGTGATGGACGGGAGAGGCACTGAGGGTGTGAGTGATGGATGGGAGAGGCACTGAGGGTGTGAGTGATGGATGGGAGAGGCACTGAGGGTGTGAGTGATGGACGGGAGAGGCACTGAGGGTGTGAGTGATGGATGGGAGAGGCACCGAGGGTGTGAGTGATGGACAGGAGAGGCACTGAGGATGTGAGTGATGGATGGGAGAGGCACTGAGGGTGTGAGTGATGGATGGGAGAGGCACTGAGGGTGTGAGTGATGGACGGGAGAGGCACTGAGGGTGTGAGTGATGGATGGGAGAGGCACCGAGGGTGTGAGTGATGGACAGGAGAGGCACTGAGGGTGTGAGTGATGGATGGGAGAGGCACTGAGGGTGTGAGTGATGGATGGGAGAGGCACTGAGGGTGTGAGTGATGGATGGGAGAGGCACTGAGGGTGTGAGTGATGGGCGGGAAAGGCATTAGGGTGTGAGTGATGGGCAGGAGAGGCACTGAGGGTGTGAGTGATGGACAGCAGAGGCATTGAGGGTGTGAGTGATGGACAGAAGAGGCATCGGGGAGTTAGAAAGGGCCTCTTTGGGCAGTAGTCACTGTGACTGAGGCTCGGTGTTTCCAAGCCTCTCTCAGGGCTCCCTGCAGAGGGAAGTGCCTCAGGTCAGGTCAGCAGGTTTTGTTGGTGTCCCTTAGGCACTGGGCCCAGCTCCTCACTCTGTTCACAGACCTCAGCAGCTGCCTCTGCCGAGGAGACCTCTGTTCACAGACCTCAACAGCTGCCTCTGCCCCCCTGGGAACTTGGCGTGGGCACGTCCTCCTTTCCTCACCCAGGAAAGACTCAGGGATGGGGACAGCATCAGTTGTCCTACTCCTGAGCTTTCACCACTCATCTCTGGACTAAGTGACACTGGGAGGAATGGGAAAGGCTTGAGGTATGAATGGAACTGATCACTCTATGAATGAACAGAAATACGTGGTATGTTCTGAGGCAGGTAGAGAAGGGCCTGGTAAAGACTCTTACGGCTAATTTAGTCCTACTCTTTGTTTTTTCTTCTTCCAAATCCCACTGATTTCCTTCTAACAAGATCGATTACAAACACAGGGTCCCCGGGAGCTGGCCCTGGCCTGGAGAGGCCCCGGCTCACCTTGACCTGGACTTTCATTCGTGGCTTGAGGTTCTCTGGGATGTTGATGGTGTATCGCTCCCGCCCCGTGAGTCCCAGGGTGTCTGCCGTCTCCCCGGGCAGGTACTCCAGGGGGATCACGCCCATTCCGACCAGGTTACTGCGGTGAATGCGCTCGTAGCTCTCCGCCAGAACGGCCTTGATTCCCTGAGAACCAAGAGAGGGTTTGGACACAGCCGGGGTTTTCCTCAGACACACACAGACTCAGCCAAAGGCTCCCTGAGTCAAAACTCTTCTCACAGCTGCATTCTTTGTAAGTACGAAGTCATGGTTTACACAGAAAGCTACCCCCTCGCTATAGATAACACAGAAGTCAGTGCTAAATGAGTGCCTACACAGACCAGGCACTGTGTGAGCCCTTAAATGGCTGCTCTCATTCCCCTCCACCACGCCGGGCGGTCAGGGGAGTGTCTAGCATTCTGAACCCATGCAGTATGAACACACACTGAGCCACTGTGTGATGCAACACCTCTCAGCAAGCTTCCACTGAACCTGGAATCAAGTCTATTATGACTGTAGGCCCACTGGCAGACACGGAAGACTTAATCAGAGAAGCAACTTATAGAACATACTCTCAAGAGAGTAAAGAATTACCTACTGTGTGCTTTTATACTTCCTGCTACAAGGATCAAATTCTATGGAATATAATCTTGACATTAAACTATTTATGATGTACATTTTACTGGCAATCTGCCAGTATAACTGGCAATATACAACAATGATCGATAAACCAGGATACTTGATTAACTAAAACACCCTATTCCCAAATATTACTTAACTGTAATAGAATATTATGGTACCCCTAAAAGGTCTCTTGATATCTAGGGTACACTGTTAAGAACATCCTTGCATAAGGGTCCTTCAGGGAAATTGTTAAGAATGTAGAATCCTAGAGTCCTGGCCGGGTGGCTCAGTTGGGTAGAGAGTCATCTCGATTCGATTTGCCAAGGTTGTGCTGGATCCTCGGTCAGTGCACATGCAGAAAGCAACCAGTGGACATTTCTCTCTCTGTCTCTAATCAATCAATACAAATAAACAAACAAACAAACAAACAAACAAACATGTTTTAAAAATGTAGCATCTCGGCCACTACCCCCGATCTACTGCAGATTCTCACGCAGGGAGTGTGGGCAGGAAGAGAGTGATCCCTGCCAGTCATGGAAACCATGGCTATGGAGCAGTGGCTCTCAAATTTGCTGCATATTAGAATCATCGAGGGAGGCTTTTAAAATCTGACACCAAGGCCTTTTTCCTTACCTGATAAACCATAATCTCTTGGGATGAGATTCAGGCACAGGTGTTTTTAAATATTCCACAGGTGCTTCCAAATTTTTAAAATTTATTTATTGACTTTTAGAGAGAAGGGGGAGGAGGGTAGAGAAGGAGAGAGAGAAATGTATATAGAGAGAAACATCAATTTGTTGTTCCACTTATTTATGCATTCATTGGTTGATTCTTGTATGTTCCCTGACTGGGGATTGAACCTGCAATTTTGGCGTATCAGGCCCACACTCTAACCAACTGAGCTACCTGGCCAAGACTGTTTCCAAATTTAAAAACAAATTTATGGAGGAAGGGCAGATTCTTCAGGATAACAGATATTTTGGATACATGTATTACATAGTCATTGGGGAGGGGGAGAGTATAAATCTTTGTAAATGCATACTATTCATGTCCCTAGTTCTGTATAAAAGGCTGTGCAGGCCTGTCAATGCCACAGTTAACAACTGTGTGACCCTCTCTGTATGAATTCACCCGGGAGACTGCTGACTGGCCCTGGCTGGGCAGCTACAGGTTGAAGTACATGGTGTCTGGGCAGCCAGGACTCAGAGCAGCTCTACAGCCAAGTCTAGACTCTGGAGCGCCCCCTGGGTGCTGGTTCTCCTTCCCTCCCACCCAACTGACTGGCACTCCTGTTAGTGACCGGTTTCCTTCCTTAAACCTCTTCCTTCTTTTCTCTGCTTCCTCTCAGAAGATCCTAAAAGAGCAGACCCCTGACATACTACCAAATAATCAGATAACCTTTTTCCCTGACAGAGCAAAATGATTAATTAAAAAAAAAATAGGTGTTAGTTAGTCAGAGATTTTCAGAAGCCTGGCTGTCTGGGGCTGCCTGCCGGACAGCCACATGTGTACAGTACTTGTGGATACCACCTATTTAGAGTTTCCCAAGTGCATGGATTGGCTGGAGCCACACGTTATCTACATTGACATCAGCTAAGTCGTTTTGCCTTCCCTGAGTATTGAAGCCGGCAGCAGGATGCTGAAGAGGTGAGAGCTCTCTGCTGCCTGGTGTGGCCCCACCTCTGGGGAAACCTCCAGGTCAAGCCCTGAAAGGCTGAAGGGTCTACAGAGTGTCCTGTTCGCATAGAGAGAGGGCGTCCTTCCTGCTGAGTCTAAAGAGACTGTCACAGGCAGGAAAGAGCACCGCAGAAAGCACATTCCCTGAGTTTACCAAAGCTCAGGCTCCTGGCTGTTCCCCTTCCAGGACCCTGGCAGCCCTGTCAGCAGCCGCAGCCCTGGCTTGTTCCTCAAGTTCACCTGGGACAATGGCCTTCAACAAATGTCGGGTCCTTGAGAACATTATGAAAACCATGGAATTTCCCCCTTAGAAAAAGTCATACAACCTTTTGGATATGATTTCAGAGACTGCACAGACCTTTCGCCCAGCTGTCCTACTGCGACCCCCAGAGAACATGGTTCCGGGACATGTCTGGTCTGAGGGAACATTTCATCTCCAGATCACTCTTTACTGAGAGAAGGGAAGCCAGTGCACCAAGAGGCAGGGAAGGAACAAACGCCACTGCTTTTCTGAGCTGTCTTCCACATCGTGGAGAGAAAAGCACCAGGATGGATTTCTGCTCCCTCCCAGCGTCCCTTCCGGTCCACGGGGCAGCTGCCCTCGGGATGTCCCTATGTCATACTCACCAGGAGGAAAGGGCCCTTGGCTGCCCAGTCCCGGGAGCTGCCGGAGCCGTATTCTTTGCCGGCCAGAATAATCAGAGGAAGGCCCGCCTGCTGGTATCGCTCAGCGGCATCAAACACATCAAGCTGAGGAAGAGAAACATAAGGTATTACAGATGTGGTAAAGGCACAGAGTGCAGACACAGGCCTGGGAGACCTGGGAGGGTGTGCAGGGTCTGAGGTCTGCAGTGAGCTAGGTCAGTGCAAAGCCAACGGAAAACTCAGCCAATCCACAGGTTGGTCTACAGATGCCTGATCTATAGATTCCCAATGAGCTCCATCTATCTACACCGACCAAATTATATTTTACTAGAGGCCCGGTGCACAGATTCGTGCACATTGGAAGGAAATTAATTAGAAGGTGACTAGCAGGGCAGGACTGAGCTAGAGAGGCTGGATGTGTCCTGGAGCCAACTCCTGCAGTCCCTCCCTGGCCAGCCACACATGGGGCGGTGCTGGGGCTCAGAGGGCGTTTGCAGAGTGAGCAGGGTGGGGTCCCTCAGCCTAGCCTGCGGGGATTAGGCCAAAACCAGTAGTCTGACATCCCCTGAGGGGTCTGAGAGTGGGAGAGGGCATTCTGCAAAGTTGCTGTCTCTCCACAGCTCCTGTGTGAATGTCTGCCTCCTGGTGGTCAGTGAGCATCATCCCTACAGACAGGTCGTCTGGTTGCTTAGCCTTTTATATGCGTAGATATTCTCTTAACCGAAATGGTTGGTTGTGAGGGTTTTAGAAAAACAATCAAATCCTAAGGCATCAAGGGAAAAAGGAAAATAGATTAGATTGTTTTTTCCTCTTCCATTGACTGAACTATTTAAAAATTAAAAAAACAATAACACAGAATCCCACCTAAACCTGGGTTTCAACTCAGTATCAGAGACTCAGTGATGGTCAATTGTGAAGGGTAGCAAAGCACAAGAAGGTAAAGTTCTGAAATAATTTAAAATGCAAACTTTTAGTAGTCACCCTTCTGCATAGAGGTCAAGGTAGAGAGAGTAGAAATATTGATGGGTTAATGCCCAGCATTAAAGAACAGGAGAAGATGAATATTTTAGTACATATGAGAAATACCAAATAGATTCATTTGTTCTCACAGGGGCTCTGAATACTGAGCTGAGACTTCACAGACACACCTCATGCCATTGCTAGTGGTGGAGCAATGCAACAACTGTGTTTCCCAGCTACTAAGTCGGAAAATAAAATCTCTCTAGAGAGTGCTCCCTTTGGAAGGTATTTAATCAAACCTTCAAGCCAGCATTGATAAACTACTGTTCTGATGGACCACAGGAGCCTATGGTTAATTCTCCAGGGTCTTGGCTAAATCTGGGTGGAAGTGTGTATGTGTGCAGCTGGACCGAGCTCATGAATAGAGAAACTTACAAAATCAGTAAAAGCCTCTCTGTCCAACCAAATGGTCTAGACTGCTTCAAAGACCAAAAGGAAACACCCTTCCTGATACTGCCAGAGAGATCTGTCACCAGCGTTGGGTGTTAAGAATGTGGGAGTTGAGTTTGAATGTGCTTTCAGAACTACTGCAAGCTGAGCACCCACAGCAGAGCAGGTCATGAAACCTCAGGTTTGGGGGACCAAGCAGCTCTGGATTCCGTCTCCTGGCTGCTGTTTTGGGAGCCATGCTGCCTGCCAACCAGGCTAGCGTGGGAGCTCTGCTCTCCCTCTCCTAGGAAGTTTCTCGTGCTTCTGTGCCTCTGTAACCCCTAGGCGTTAGGTGTGAACAGTCTATTCTCCATTTCTCCAGTTTCATCACATCCCCTAGTTTGATGAGGATTAGGTTCTCTTAAGCACCATTCCCAAGAATCCCTCTGCACCTCTCCTGCCCCCGACCTCCCGATAGAGTGACGTCAGATGGCTGGTATGTCAGTACTGGGTATTTGCATTATACTCATGTAAATGCTATTTACTGCTGAGTCATGTACTATGTATGACTTATCTTTCTTGGCAATTTAAAAACAATTTCCACTGAAATTAATAAATTTCATTTTGGGTGTGTGCTCACCTGTTTCTATGTTCCTACCCATTAATTAATCTCCAAGCGATATGTGCCTAAAGCACAAATCTCCTCGAAAGACATTCAGTAGAATCTGACAATCCATCCCTGAAAGTCTTTTCCATGAGGCTCCGCTCCTGGAGCCGGCACTGCTCTGTGTAGGCTGATGGCGCTCTCCAGGTGCCTCCCGGGACCCAGGGGCCCTCCACCCGCATCCTGGGGGTTCCCAGCCCTGCCTTCCCCTGGACCCAACACCTTCCTCTCTTTTGGTGGAACACTGTCAGCTAGCAGCTTCCCAAGAATTGAGGGATATCTTTTACGTTTTTGAGTATCTGAATATATTTATATTACTTTAATTTCATTTGACTGGAGTATGAAGGACAGAACTGTAAGGGGGAAATCAGTCTAAGTTCCCAGTGTTGTCTCTGCGCCTCTGATCTCCAGCACATTGTATATAACCTGTCTTAGCTTCTCTGTGAGTTTCCAGATCTTCTTTTTTTAATCCTCAGCCAAAGATATGTTCATTGATTTTTTAGAGAGAGGAAGGGAGAAAGAAATTGATGTGAGAGAGAAATATGGATCAGTTGCCTCCTTGACTGAGGCCAGGGATGGAATCCGAAACCTAGGCATATGTCCTGACCAGGGATAGAACCCGTGACCCTTCCGTGAAGGGATGACGCTCTAATGAACTGAGCCACGCTGGCCAGAACCCCGCTGATCTTAACTCCCCAGAGCTGTGACTGGCACAGGTCATCTTCAGGCGCTCTGCTGGGCACTCAGGGGCCTTGCAATCTGGAGTCTTCCATTTTCCCTCATGTGAGTGTGCGACCATCTCCACTCTTCTCTCTTCAGTGTCTCTCTTCAGTCAGATGTTAGGATTCCTCAGTTCAGTCTTTACTTTTCTTAGTTTCTCTCTAATTACTGCTCTATATTTTGAGAGATTTTTTTTTTCAACTAACCAACTCTTCCTGTGAAATTTTTAAGGAAATTTTTTTTTTTTTTTTTTTTAATTCAAAGAGCTCTTTCTTGCCCTCTAATTACTTTACACAGGGGTGGGGAACGTCTGGCCCCTGGGCGATATATAAGGCCACAGAATCATTTGGTCTGGCCCTGCCAAGGCATTAGAGAGAGTTAATTAGATGTTTGACAAATATAGCAGGCTTCTTTTTAAGTTGATAATTTCATATGGCCTGCGAGTGATGTTATAAATATCCAAATGGCCCTGGGCAAAAAAACGGTTCCCCACCTCTGTTTTACAGCAACAGAAAACCATCTCATTACTCTGAAGAAACAATGTTTTTTTCTGTTTTCTTCTATTCTTTGCATTATCTGCGTTCTCTACCTTCCTCCCTGTCCTTAGCCTAGGTCTGTCTTTCGAGTTCTGAAATGTCCGTCCTTCTCTGCTCTGACTTCTTATTTAAGAAGCACCGAACATCTGGCCAGAAGTTCTGTCAGGATGGGCTCGCAGATACGTGACGTTCGCTGCGACAATCAGTGCCCGGAGGCCCCAGTGCTTGCCTCTGCAGGACCTCCCCTTGGTCTCTAGCGCGTCCCGCCATTTAACTGTATCATTCTTCATCTAACAGTTTGCTCATTACCCCTGATCCACCGAACATCCCTGGCACGGGCTCTGTGCAGGTCCTGGTGAGCAGTGACGGTCTGTGAAGAGACTTTACAAAAACACGATCGGCGGCAGGCGAGGCGGGAGGCACGGTGAACAGCACTGGCTTCGAAGCCGGACTCCCTGGGCTTAAACTCCGTGTCTCTGCCTGCAGCCTGAGGGATTCATGAGCTCTCGATGCCGTGGGTTCCCAACTTAAAATGTGGGTAACTATGGTACCCGCTTCTAAGTGTTGTTACGAGTATTAGATTAGACAATGCATGCAAACAGCTTAGAACAGTACCTGAGACATGGTAAGTTCTACGTAAACATTAGCTGTTATTGCTTTAGAATAGGTTGGGAAGGTTATTTCTCAAGTGGCCTAGCCCGTTTCCAGCAGCTTCGCCACATTCCTGGGGAAGGGAGGTGACACTGCGGAGTAGACATCAGACTGGCTGTTTCACGTGTCCCTCCGTTTGCGTCTCAGCCTCGGCGCCTGCCAAGGGAGACAGCGCAATGTTTCTGCTTCACAGGCAGGAACGCTCAGGCTCAGAGGGAAATGCACTGCTGTGAGCCACAGCTGGCCTGAGGTGGAGCTGGGACTTAAACCCAAGCTTGTCTGACTCAAAGGGCAGGCTTTCCCGGCCTCTCTCATGCCTCCCAGCAGACAATTCCACCATCACATGTCACATACGGGTTCCCTGTGGGACCCGAGCAGGCCTCCACATGCCTTCTTTCCTCCTGGGATGGCGAACTCAATGAAATGCCGATGCAGCCCTAAAACGGCACTTCTGGATAAACACCCCTACCTTCGCCTGAATTCCCTCCAACACTCTGACCTCGAAGCATTTCAATCAGAGCCTCTGAAAGCTCAGCTCCAGGAAAGCGGATTTAGTTAGGCCAAAGGCAGAGCCCCTGAGCAGGACGAGGAGGTTCCCTGGTTAAAGGGCGCCCCCATCCCTGATGAGCTCCACAGTGATGGGGTGGCAGGAAACCAGAGGCAGGAGGGCAGGGAAGGAGCTAAGAGCGAAGGCAAGCGACCGGGGAGACACCCAACCAGCCAGGGCCAGACGAGGGCACCATACTCACCACTTCTCCAGAAGGCAGGTGTATCGTCTGCGGTGCCTGCTTGTTCAAAAACTTGTTTAGTAAGCGAATGTTGGCAAATGTGCCCCGGGCCATGATGGCATCGTTGCCCCGGCGGGAACCGTACGAGTTGAATTCCCGCGGAGTCAGGCTGCCAAGGCAAGTGGAGGGGAGCCGTCAGTGATGGGGGAAGAGGGCCCTGGCTTACACCAAGGAAGGGGAAACAGGAACCTCGGTATTCCTGCTCTCTACCAAGAACGCCCTCCCAGGCAGCACACTGTTCCCACAGTCTCAACTGAGGCAGCTGGGGGTGCAATCCCAACCTCCACTCTGGGAGCTAAGGGGGGCTGGGGAGAAAGGAAGGTGGAACTAAATATTATCCCAGGCCAACCTCTGCCTTACAAATCTGGGTAGAAAAATAGGAGGAACTCTAATAAGAATATTTATTTCATTTATTCAGTAAGGAAGCCTATAAAGTTTCACAAAAATTAAAATATCAAAAATGAGTAAGAAAGCCCTGGCCAGGTGGCTCGGTTGGTTGGGGTGTTGTCCTGTACACCAAAGGGCTGTGGGTTCAATCCCCACTCCAGGCACATCCGGCAGGTGAACTGTTGATGCTTCTCTCTCACATCAATGTTTTTTTTCTCTCTCTCCCTTTTTTCCTTTCTCTCTAAAATCAATAAACATAGCCTTGAATGAGGCTTAAAAATAAACGGGTAATAAAAAGTAAGACGAATAATGAGAGTAAGTTGGTCAGGGGTCAGGTGGAGCCCCAAATGGGAGAAACATAAACTATGTCCCATTAGCTAACCAGAAGGGGGTTCAGATTCACCCCCCAGTTATCAGGAACTGAACTGAAAGGGAAGACACACCACTGCCAACAGGATTTACAATTTCATAAGATAAAAGTCAGAGCAGTGCCAAGGAGGCAGAGCAGCTATTCCCCCTGGCCCTGAGGTCAGAAAGAAGCCTGGTTGGGGGACCTGAGAACATCAGAGGCAACATTTTACCACGAACGCAGCGACCCCTCCACAGGCTGTTCCTTAAAACGCTAGGAAATGAGTGTGAGTCTTAATGCGATTGAAAGGATAGGTGTAAAGGAGCATTGAGAGAACCTATAAGTGGGTTTCAGGAGCAACTAAAATTATACCCAAAATGTTATGATATGTGCATTTTTCTGAGAAGGCATTATATTTGCTTTTACTCAATTCCCTAAAGAGTCCATGTCTCAAAAGAGGTCAACAATCACCAATCAAAATAAGGTTTTGGGTTGTGCTCCTGGAATTGGCTCTGGGCCCCTCCCAGAGGAAGCTGATGGGGAGGTGGGATGGGAACCAGGAGTCTCCCCAGATGATTCTCATTCAAAGTGAGAGTCGGATGGCTTTGAGGAATCCAGGTCTGCCAGCTAACAGCAGAAAACGCTGGTATAGCACCTGTCAAAATTGGTACAAGACCGGACTGCTGAGTTTGTGTGTGAACTGTCAGGCATAGAAACAGTTCCCTGTAAAGAGTGCATCTCCGCCGGGTAGGGCAATGCAGTTCACGTTACGTTCCCGCTGAGCGGATCAATGCAGCCAGACTATGCAGCCAGACTCTGCCACCGGTTAACAGCAGACCCTGTGCTCTATCTACTTGGCAAGCCGGGGGGGACGAAGTGATACCCTGTTTCCCCGAAAATAAGACATCCTCCTAAAATAAGACCTAGCGCATGGAAAAATAAGACATCCCCTGAAAATAAGACCTAGCGCATCTTTGGGAGCAAAAATTAATATAAGACATTGTCTTATTTTCGGGGAAATAGGGTAGTTGAGCCGAATGCATACAACACTTGCTCAAAGAATGTCCCTGCTTCCCTTGACAGGGCTCACATGATGATGGATTCACCCATAGAAGCTTCAAAGCAGCCAACAGAAAGATGGACTGGTTTCCTAGCGCCCAGGTTCAGTGAAGAGCCACAGTCCGCTTCCAACGGGACCAGGGGAAGAGCACTGCGGGCCTGGCCACCCCGCTGCCCTCAGTGGTCCTCAGCTCGCCCCTCACTCACTTACCCTCTGTTAGTCAAGTAGCGAGCAGCAGGGCTGTTTCTGGCGATGTTTCCAGCCGGAGAGATGTGGTCAGTTGTGACTGAGTCTCCCAGATTGAGCAGCACGTAGGCGTCCACAATAGACTTAGCGGGCTGCAGCTCCAAAGTCTAGCAAGGAACACAACGAGTCAGCACAGCCAGGGCAGCCCCATGCACGGAGGGAAAGCAGGTTCAATTCCGGGTCAGGGCATGTGTGCGGGGTTTTATGCTTGATTCCTGGTGGGGGGTGTGCAGGAGGCAGCCGATCAACGATTCTCTCTCATTGATACTTTTATCTCTCTTTCCTTCCTCTCTCCCTAAAAATAAATAGAAATATATATATAATATACCCTACTTGTTGCATTCTCTCTTTATATAAAGAGAGAATGCAACAAGTAGGGTTGGCCCAGGTTTCCGCCAACAAGTCACAAGGGAAGGCTCCACGGTGGTGTTCTGTGGACTGAACCAGGTGACAGCCCTAATCAGTACACAGGAAATTATAGGGTGTTTTTTCTTTTCAGTTTTATCAGGGGCGCTTAGAAAAGTACTGGCCCTGTCCCTTCCAAAGCAATAGGGAAGCAGCTGCAAATGGCATTCTCTTTCTCCATGTGCACAGAACTCTGACTTCTATCCCATCCCCTCCCCAGAGGGACCCACCCTGGCCAGCAAGGACTCCTTGACCAGCAGTGTCGGGGAAGCGTGCCCTGTCTGAGTGAGTCTCAGGGCGAGAGATGGCAGGCCTGCATGCTCCCGGGAACAGCCCTCGGACTTCACCGAGACCATGCCCAGGTAGCACTGGATCCCCAGGGGTCGCTACACACCACACACCAGCCCGGACAGAGAAACTGAGGTCTCACTCCAGCCACTCCCAGATTCCCCTAACCTTCCCCAGTGGCATGTGCTTGGGCTTGTGGAGGTTTGAATGAAATAGTTGGTGAAAACAAGGTATGGGGTAATGAAGTAGATGTTATAAGGAAAGAAACCTTTTGAAGAATTCAGGTTGTTAAAAATAAAAAGTCATACCAAGTTTTCAAAGAACGGTGGTGACTTAATGTATGTAGATTTGGGATTCCAGTAATACAGCGTATCTGATGGGGCTGCCAAGGCATTCCAGCTTTCATTCACAGTCTTTACAAAAAAAAGAAAAAAGAAAGAAAAAAAGGCCAATCCAGTTACATTCTAGTACAAGGAAAATTTAACACATAAACCCATAACACATATCTGAGCTATGAGTACAATATAAACCATTCTTATTCTAGTCACACAAAAGAATTCCTTTATACTAAGACAGTGCCATGCTAACTAACTTAACAATTCACATGCACTACGACAGGCAGCCCCCAAGAACCCCAGCTGCCCCCACCCCTGGATTCACACCCTCACGGGAGCCCCTCCTGCTGAGTGTGGCTCATTTCCAAGGTCAGGTTATACAGAGACTCTGCCTTCTATGTCCCTCCGCCTCTCTTGCTTTCTCACTCGCCCTGATGGTGTGAGCTGCAATGCCGCGAGCTGGGTGGTGGAGACCACCAGCAAGGCCTGTGGCTGATGGTCATGAGGAACTGAGGCCCCTGGCCCAGCAGCCCTGAGGCGCTGGTCCCACTGCACTGCGTGAGTGCCCTTACAGGTGCAGTCCCCAGCTCACATCGGACTGGAGCCCTGCCACCCAGGAAAGCCACTCTTGGGCCCACAGACTGTGAGATAATAAGTGCTTGCTGTTTTAACCCACTAAGTTTCCAGGTAATTTGTTGTACAGCAAGACATAACGAATCCATGTACTTACAACTGTAATTTAAGAAAAAATAACCCAGATTTGTAGCGAAGGGAAATCATTTAATCTCTGAAAATTTGGGGGAGTAGACTTCCAGGTCACATGGTCATTGGATAGCCAATCACAACTGCTTTGCATACAAATGAGCTTGAAGTCTCTCCACAGGTCTGTTAACTTAGCCTCTGAATGCATACATTTAATGCAGTGCCCTCCAAACTCCCTCAGACCATTCGTTTCCCAAGGGCTGCTGGGGGGAGGACCATAGAGAGTCCGCCGTCTTGTTTCAAACCCAAGCCCTTGTCAGCAGGCTGTGAGTCAGCCTAACACAGAAATCAGGGAAAGAAATAACATCCAAGGGTCTCAACAAATAGTACCAAGCCCCATACATTTTATCCCTACTTGCAAAATGCTCAAAAAGGTTTATTTATTGAAGCAGTTTGGTGCTTTCTACTGAGTGGCTTTTATGTATTTTTGGCTTGTTTGCTTATTTACTTATTCTTAAGCATCCAAATAATTGTGAGAGGTGTGGTCCCCCAACCAACTCCACCTCAGTGACACCCACAGGGACGCCAGAGCCCCTGAGAAAGGGAGAGTGATGGAGAGCTGGCTGGGAACCACAAAATGCCTGTCGTTAGGTTACAACCTGAGGCCTTTCTCCCAGCCCACCTGTATACATATGGCACATCTAGGGGGCGTGGGGTTTGTAAAACTGTGAGTCACAGAAAAATGACTGAAAGCCACTTCCCTATTCTCGGAAGAAGGAGTCATGAACTGGTTCCGCCCCATTAGCCTCCAGGTCTGCAGAGCTGACACAAGGAGCAGCGGCCCTCTGATTCTCTGGGCAGGGCGGGCGGGCCCTCACCTCTATTTTCTGATAGACCTCCTTGAACATCCCAGGGATGACGTACTGACGCTCCACCGCCTGGATCTCCTCTCTCGTTGGCCAGATATCCTTCAGAAACACCTGCTGTCCCTTTGCGTTCACCCCTGGGGGAGGAGAAATGTTTATTAATGAAAAACTTCATTCACACCCTTTTTTTTTATCCCATACAGTCGAGTCTTGTTCTTGGCGGTAGTTATATCTATCCAGTCCACACCGACACTACAGGGTGAATCACGGCCTGAGGAAACACAGGGCCAGTGTCTGAGCCTCTAGCCACAACATTTCGGTCAGCTAATCCGTATATAGCCTGGCTTTATGTGTTTTGTTTACAGACGCCTTAGTTAACACATGTCGTTGGTGCATTAACACTGAACTCCCTGCCAAGGGCTCGATGACCGTGCCTGAGGAAGCCTACTTAGCACAGACGCCTCACAGGCCCCCTGGGCTTAGGGTCACCACACACGCTCCGCACCCTCCTGGGGGCCGTCTGAAACAGTGACATCGCCTGCAAGCAGCACAACAGTGCAAACACCTGGCAGGAGGAGCCCATGGGCAGGTCACTCATTTACAGGGCGGCCGCTGAGGTAAGATGGCAGGGGGCTGAGAAGCTGTGCCTGGCATGACTCGGTTTCCCTGCTCTGTGCATGCCTCTGAATGACCTCAGAAGCACAATGAGCACTGACTTTGGGGGGTAAAGTACATTTTAGTGAACAGGCAAATCTGCAAATATGGAATACACATATAATGAGTCCCTCCTGTACATCTAAGTTATAATTTCCTAGAGGCGAATTGAAAGGGCATTGTTGTCATATAATCTAATTTGCTTAGAGTGAATTGAAAAGGGGACAGGAAGCAAGAAAACCAGCGGTAAGAAGACAAAGCATCCTTTTGTCTGAATTTGGGGAGGTTGCACTACCTGAAGGTGTTACCGCAGAAGGCATATTTAAGCAATGCCTGCCGTTAGGTTACAGCAGGAGACAGAAAAGGGAACTGGAGAAGCTGGCAGAAGAGCAAGCTCTCTATGACTCTCTGTACTTCTTTTATGTCATCCCGCGCTCTTAGGGAAATCATTAATTCTTCCAGTTATGTCTGGCTGTGTATTGAGGAATAGAGAAAAGACTCTCCTCCCTTTTCACCTCACCTCTGAAGTTCTAGGCTTATTTATTAAGGAAAGCACTAGTTCCCTTTCAATTACATTTTCAAATTCATTGCGGGGTGGGGGGCGTGGGGTGGGGTTATAAATTTCAAATTTATAACCCCGTAAACAAAGTCTTACCCAGTGGCTCTTTCTCAAAGTCGATCTTGATGGTCCCAGCAATTGCATACGCTATCACCAAGGGCGGAGAGGCTAAGTAGTTGGCCCGGGTATTGGGATGGACTCGACCTTCAAAATTCCTGTTCCCCGACAGCACTCCGACAGCGACAAGGTCTCCCTGGGAGAGGCGAGAGAGGAATCAGGTCACAGGAAACGAGATCGCTCTGGCGGCTCATTTTAGGCCATTTGCTGAGTTTTCCCACCACCAGGACATACTAGCTCTCTGAGCTTCCCTTGCGCGGGTCCTCTCCCCGATAGGAGAGCACAAAGGGTATCCCAGGGGCATACCACATGTGTCAAAAGACATAGAGAGACGTGGTCACCGGTTTCTGCTCATGAGAAGATGCCAGGTAGGTCAGAGGCAACATCCCAGTTATTTTGCTGCCCGGGGCCTAAGAACAGGTGGGGAGGACTAAAAGTTGAAAGCTCCAGGCAGCCACGCTGACTTGCATGGGTTCAGTTCCATGCAAAGCAAACCTAATAGTATTTGTCAACGTTACAGAATTTATGGGGCAAAACCTAAGCCAGTGCAAGTCAGTGTAGACTCATGTGGGGGAAGGCTTCTCTGACGTGGAACCAGTTTTCAGATGAAACAATCTGGAGCCCCCTGGAGTCAGGACTTGCACTCATGCCCACTTGTGTCCAGGCGCCGCGCTGTCTTTGAGGTCCATTCTCATCTCAGTGACACAGGCCCTGGAACAGGTGCTATTTGTCACCTCCAGTGGACAGTACTGATCACTCAGGTGAAGAGAGGCTCATTAACCTGCCCAGGTTACCTAATGAGGAAGTTTAGCTTGACCTCAACGGCCATACATATGATCACATCCCCTGCTTCCCTAAACCTTGTTTGATTTGACCAGTGTTCTGGTCACACACCATATGAGAAGAGGCCACAGCGCTGAAGACCCACAGCCCCTGGAATTACCTGCGTGATGGCTTCCACCACAGGCTCAGGCAAGGGCCCGCTGTTGCCAATGCAGGTCATGCACCCATAGCCCACGACATCAAACCTAGAAGCACAAGACGGAATGCTCAGAGCGCCCCCTGCTGGAACAGCTCCCGGAGAGCGCTGCCTTAGAGGTGAGCAGCCCATGAAATGAGCCTGGGACAGCGCAGTTCCCTTAAAGCGTTCTTTCCGGAGCATCGTGATACATTATTCATCCATTCTAGACCATTCCATCAGACTCCCTTTTGAGCAAATTATAAAAAATAAGCCTAAGAGAAAGTTAAAATATGCCACTTATTGTCTCTATTCAGTATTTTTATCATATATTCCTAAGGGTTTCTGACTGTGACAATGCACATGAGTGAAACCTCTGACATCCGAGTTAGGAATAGTGGGGAAACTGTCTGGAAACAAATAACTGAAGTACCTGAGGAATGAGAACACCTCAGCCAGGGTCAGAATGCTTTCACACCAAAGGGCAGCTTTCGGTGCCGAGCCAGCGCTGGCCACGGCACAGGGAAGGAGTGGCACCCAATGCACAGCTGGATCCGTGCCCTGCGCGCCCTTCATGGACACCCTCGTATCATGAACAACTAGCTAAATTGAGGCCCTACTCCACAAGGTAAGGTGACCAGACGTCCTGCTGGTTAGTGGGACAGTCCCGATTTTTAACAATTTGTCCCACCTCCCTCAGCGTTTTAAAAAAGTCCCGGGAGGTGGGGCAAATTGTCAAAAATCGGGACTGTCCCGTCAAAAACGGGATGTCTGGTCACCTTAGTTAAAGGTCACTCACCATCTGACAAGATACCATCAGATGAGCTTACATCTGTTACAGGTGACACAGCAAGGTACACGCGGTAGGCGACACGACACGACAAAGGCGACGGGTAAAAGAACGTCCCTCACCCCAGCTGAGACAGGTAGGGCATGACTCCGCTCTCCCGCAGGTAGTAGGTGACCACCCCGCTCCCAGGAGACAGGCTCGTTTTGATGTAGGGCTTCACAGTCAGGCCGGCGTCCACGGCTTTCTTGGCTAACAAGCCTGCGGATGGCAAACACAGGCACACTGTGGGTGGCCGCCTCCTCCAGGTGCCGGGACAGTCAGGAAAGACACTGGCTCTTTAGTCTGCACTCCCGGCCCCTGCCAGACCAAGCTCCGCTTACGTGGGCACTTTCTGCTCTTTCTGCTGCTTGTTGGGAACGCAAAGCTCACTGGCCCAGAGCCATCTTTCTAACTATGTTTTATTTGGATGAAAATTCTAATCTGAAGGGCCCCTTTTTAAAGCATCTGAATGGTGCATTGGCTGGTGAGGAATACAGTCGGTTTAGATGTAAAAATGTCTTAAAGTGGAAGATCAGGGGCTCGTGAGCCACAAGACTTCCACAAACACAGCCCATCCAGGCCCTGAGGCCCTGGTGCTCTGCCTGAGGCTGTGTCACAGAGGCAGAAAGAAACGAGGAGAGCCCTAGCCAGTTTGGCTCAGGGGACAAAGCATCGGCCTGTGGATTGAAGGGTCCTGGATTCGATTCTGGTCAGGGACACATGTCGGGTTTCGGGCTCGATCCCTAGGAGGCAGCCAATCAATGATTATCTCTCATCACTGATGATCTCTCCCCCTTTTCCTTCCTATCTGAAATCAATAAAAAAAAATATTAAAAAAGGTAAGAAATGAAGAGAGGGGTTGTTGAGACACAGAAAGCTATAGACTCGCTGGTGACTGCTCTTGAGGAACCTGGTCTGTGCCAGAGAAAACCAGCTTAGCGGGCAGCAGCTGGCTCCTTGGTTTTCCTGTGCACCGTCCAGCTCGTAGGGAAAGGGCTGTTGTAACTCCATCATCTACGGATGTGCTGCTCAAGAGGAACCATGGGGGAGGCTCAGAAACGTGGAAACGTAAGGAGACCTTATAGTAGCAAAAGTCTGTACGCAAATGTTAGCTCCTTAACCAGACAAGGCCTGTGCCCTAACTCAGGTGCTTGTGACTACAAACCTAAGCCTGAATCCCACTGACCAAAAGGGCCCAGCAGTGTGGGACAGGGAACCACCTTGCGTGGGAAATTCGTTTTTTTCTTCTAAAGTCTGACATAAGGTTTTGGGCTTTGCCAGAAATTCATCTTCCTTTGCTTTCTTCTACTTATTTTCCGGTTTATTCTAACCACGGTTAAGCATTATTTGTTCCACTTTAAGTACTTTGCTTTGGACGCTATTTATTGTGAAAACATATGTGGGCCCATAAATTCCTACATCTGGGAAAGACAAGGTTCAGGGACCCACATGCTGAGCGCCTGGGTCATGTCTTGGGGGATTTCCACCCTCACGTCCCCCACTTGCCACGGGGAGGGTTTCCAGGGCACTCACCGGCCCCGAGCATCACGGACGGGTTGCTGGTATTGGTGCAGCTGGTGATGGCGGCGATGACCACGGAGCCGTGAGCGAGGGTGAACTCGCTGTTGTTGTAGATGAACGTCTTACGGTCGTCATGATGGTCCGGAGCAACCTGGAACCCCTTAAACCCTTGCTGCAGGAAGAAGAAAACAGATATACGAAAAGAAAACTTCTCACTTTAAAAGATGAGAAATATTTTGGAAACTATAACATTAAAGGGCAATCCTTAACAAAACATAAATATCATGGCCAATAAAATCCAAAATGCTACAGTAAAATTCAAGTTTTCTTGAGACTTTTAAAATCTTTACAATCAGCAGCCATCATTCTAAATCTTACTCTTGCTTTGAAATTAGCAATTGCTTCCTTTCCACCTAAAGACCGGACATGTTAAAACTACAAATTTAGTTTAAAGTTAGTCTCAGTAGAATTCAATGGCATTATTGTAGTTCAATGAGGTCACGGGTTCTCTCCAAATGGAAATTTAGAAAAAGGGGCCATTTGGGTCAGATTCAGCCAAGCAAGTGCCATGAAGGCCCCGAAGAAGGAGAGACGCCTGTCTGCTCTGAGCTGGAGGCCGCCTTGCGAGCAGGGGACGGAATGAACAGCAGCACAAGGGCCACAAGCGTGGCGAGTAGAGGGAAGGATGTGGGAGTGGCATGTGGAAGCAGATATGCTCTAGAAGGTGGGCTGGATCATGCTTACACCCAGCCATGTGCTCAGGAGGCTGCTTGGCTCCTGGCTGGTGGGGAGCATTGAGGACATCAGGATGGAGAAAACCCGCCCCCCCTGGCCAGCCTCCTGGAGGAGTCACCTCGGAATGGGGTGGACTGAAGCCTGGCACTAGGTGAGTGAGTGTGGGGTGGGCCGGGTTGGGAGGGCCTCCACCTGCTCCCGGCACTGACCTTGGCTCCAAGGCAGCTCTCAAAGTCCTTCTTCATGTCAGACACGGCGACTTTGTCCTGAGGCCGCTTGGGTCCACTGCAGCAAGGCACTACCGTCTTCAAATCTAATTCCACCACCTGCCACCCCGGAAGGAAAGGAAGCGTGGAACTGATGTTATACCCACACAGAAACAGCATGAGCCAAGTCAGAGATCTCAGAGCACTGCGATCATAAAAACCAACTACACCACCACATTCACAGCCAAGGAGGTCAGTGTCCGTCTTAACTCCTAAGGGATGAATCTCCGAAGATGAAGATGGTCACGCAGGCAGTGTAGACAGCAAGCAGCCATGCCGCTCTCAGGAAGAGCAGGTGGGCATGTGGCTGCTGCCCAGCACCTTCCAGCCAGCCATCTTTGAAAAGCAGCTCCTACATCCTTTTTATTTTAAGTTGATCTGGGATGGGTTTTCTATTGAAACAATACATAACCTATTATACTTTTCTAAGATGATTTGGGAGGGATGCAGCCATCAAGTCATTAATGCCAGGAAGTGAGCCCTACTCTAATGCAGCACTTCCTTCCCTCAGTGTTATATGAAGAAAAATGAGGGCACCACCTACCGTGTTTCCCCGAAAATAAGACATCCTCCGAAAATAAGACCTAGCGCATGGAAAGATAAGACATCCCCTGAAAATAAGACCTAGCGCAACTTTGGGAGAAAAAATTAATATAAGACTCTGTCTTATTTTCGGGGAAACAGGGTAGTGTGCCCTCTGCTCCTGGCTGCTGAGGAAAGTGTGGGTTCAGTTGGCACCCTAGGAAATAAATGAAGGCTTAGTCATTGGATAAATCAGAACTAGTTGACCTGTTCACACCTCCATTTCTTTCCCATCTACATATATAAAAGGCTAATATGCTAGTGTTCATCTGGGTAATGATGTTATGTAGCAATGCCTGGCTTCCTCTCCCTAGCGACTAATCTCTTGGAGTTTCTTCAGCCCAGAAACACGACTTGCTTTACAGCCAGGTGGAAACATTCTACACTGTAACCAAGTGTCTGTGAAGTGTTTTCCCGTGCTTCATTTCATTTGATCCTCACAGAAGTCCTGGAGTAGGTAGATAGGAGACTTGGTGGAATCCTATTTTATTTTCATTAGCCAGAAAATGGAGATTTAGAAAGTTTAGAAACTTGACCCGACTGAAAAGAAGTAAGAAATGGTGGATCTTGAAAATGACTTCAGGTTTTCTCACTGTGCAGAATATGTCGAACACTGCTGCAGTTAAATATTTTGCCCCTTGTTCTCCCTGCATGATCTACAATAATAATCTGCTTCATGTTGATATTTACTGCTGTGTTGCTAACAATTATCTGAAAGAGGAGTTGGGGTGCTTCACTGGGCTGGAAAAAGCTTAGCTAATCAGCAAGCAGGTCTAATTAAGCAAGTTTATTCTTTATCTATAAAAGGCTAAGTTGACTTGTGCATGCATGATGCATAATAAAGCTCTTGCTGGCGCCAATTGCACATGTGTATGTTTCCATCTGTCATTGTCGATCGTGAATTTGGCTTGATCAACATGATAGAGAAAGGGTGAATAGCGATGTTAAAATATTTCTTCTAATTAATTTCCTTTCAATGTGCACGGATTTGTGCACCGAGCCACTAGTTTTTAATAGGGAGGAGCTTAGCCTTTAATCCTTCTGGTGAAGTCCTTCTCCAAGCTCCTCTACTAATTTTCTACAAGTACAATCCCCAAGAGAAACCACACAGCACTAAAACCACGCCTCAGGAAGAGGAAACACAAGTCCGTGAAGGTGCTCTCGTACCTGGGCAAAGTCTAAGTCCATGAAGGTGCTCTCATACCTGGGCAAAGTCTGGGTCCTGGGAGGAGTCACTGAAATCCCGAAACATTCCTACAGCCTGAAGATACTTCTTAATGTACTTGACCTTCTCTTCATCACGACCTAGGGGGGGCATTTTAAGAGGAACCAAGTGATATATGTTAATACTTCTGGTTAAAGACTGTAAGCTACTACCTCCACCAGGGATTATACAGTGACAGCACTTCTCTTTCACACGACAGGCCTGCTGATGCCATGGCACTCAGGCCACTAGTCTGACTCTAGCTGATCTGCTGTTCCCTGCAGACTATTAACTGACTCGTGGTTCCTAAGGAAGAGGCTATGAGAGGCTCCTCGTACCTGTAAGCACTCCCCCTTCTCTTTCTTATGCTCCTCAATTAGGAGCAGCCTAGGTCGGCACATCCTGCCTCTGCCTTCACCTCGCCAGACTCCCGGCATCCCACGTTATTATTGCTAACATAATAGTCCACTCGATCCCACAAGTCACCAACTAGGAGCACTTCCTGGGTGCCCGGCTCTGTGTGCTACACGTCTTGAATGCATTATCTCAATCTCTAATCGTTTATCATGACCTTAGGAGACAACTACTGTTATTATTCTCATTCTCAGATGAGGAACACGTGGCTCCAGATGAAGTAACTTTCCCATGGAATACAGCCAGTACATGACAGAACCAGGATCCGAACCTGAGTTTGACTCCAAAGTCCAAAGTCTTCACTCGTAATGCCGCCTCACCAGGAATAAGACCCTGAATGCTCAGCACTTAATCACGAGACCCTGGCTGCAGGAGATAATCCTCAGGAAGTATGCCCAAAGGACATGCAGTCCACCCGTGCCTCTGAATAAAACTGTTTAGAAGCCTGATTCTTAGACCCACCACACAGCAGCATTTTTTATTTGCCTGTTTCTTTGACATGAATTGTCAAGGTCATCAGCTTCCAGCACCAGCCTCACAAAAGCCGACTGTCCGAGCTTCACTTACGTGTTTATCCTGACCTGTGGTTGAGCCCACTGCTGATTACGTCCCACAACATCCCTTCATGAAGATGCGCGGGAGAAATTTAATAGATGCTTCAAATGTGGCGCCAGATCACTACTCAAGGGGCCCCCTCAAGCCACAGACACTAATCTTCGCTCTGGATGGTTCTCCAGCTTTCCTCCCATTCCCCTCCCTGCCACCCCTTCCTGCTCTTCTTGAGCTGGATTTCCTCAGTTATTTATTCTGCCCTTTAATTTCTATATCGTTTTCACTTTCTTTGGGAATCAAGGTAGGTAGCAATTAATCAATTTTGATGTGGCTGTATTTATAATAAAAACTTCTTTTTTTTTTTTAAATTAACTTTTCATGACAATCGTAACTCTGCCAGGAAACCTATCCTCGGGAAAGTCTGGGAGAAGCTGGGAGTCGAAGTCTGAACGGGCCTTATGAGACCCACTGGGAGATGGGCACCCAGCTCTTACTGTGCCCGCTACTTCGGTTGCGAAAGAAACACTGGCCACTGTAGTGCACAAGGGGCATAGGTGAGAACGCTGGAGTTCGCTCCTTTCTCCTTAATGCCTTTGTTACAATTCTAAGAGTCATGTGGGAACTAAAAGGTCTCCTCTATTTTTGTCACATAGAATGAGGCAGTAAAAATAAAACTATTTCATGTTACCTTCTTGCTCAATATGACTCAGTAGCTTCCTAGAAGGTGTGGAATAAAATCCTCACCGGTCCCTGTGGCCTCCGGGCCAGTGTGGATCTGGTTCCTGCCTGCCCACCCCCTAACCTCACCTCCCACGGCCTCAACCCTAGGCTTCCAGAGAAGCCGAGCTCTTCCTGATGGCTGTGCCCTATCCGCTTCGCATCTGCTGGTATCCCAGCAGTCACTGTGACTTGCAGAGAGAAGGAAGACGTCTGCAGATCTGACCCCGAGCCCTGCACGGGCTGGAAGCAGCAGGCTGTGCCCGATGCTGTGCTCTGTGAAACGTTCCAAAGGGCCCTGCTTCTGAGGGTGTCACACTCACCTGTCTGCACCAGGTACTTGATACTAACTTCATCGACCGGGAAAAAGGCAGCGGTTGCTCCATACTCTGGACACATGTTGGCAATCGTAGCTCGGTCAGCAATGGACAGCTGGGCCACGCCTGGCCCGAAGAACTCGACGAATTTCCCCACTACCCCAACCTGGCGGAGGTGCTGAGCGGCAGAAGGGAAAGGTGTCAGAGTGGACAGACCACATCTGAAATGCAGAACTGTCACCTTATCACCCCTTACAATTCCCACAGGCTAGCACGAATGAAAAGAAACAATAAGTTAGCTCCACGTGGTATTGATTACTTTACAAAACAAACCTTGAAAACTAATGCCAACTACATAGAACATGGCATCCTGACTGGAAGTCAGAGACATTACTACTAGTAAAAACACCGGCAACGTTTCTGCTTGGCTAACAGTGCCATTCATCGCAATGCCAGCCTCTGTGTTTTGATAAATGCACCACGGTAATGCCAGGTGGCATTTGGGGGAGCTGGGAGGGAGGTAACAGAGTTTTCTGTATCATCTTTCTATAAACTCTCCTGTAAACTTAAAATTAGGTCAAAACCATTCTTAAAAAAAAAAATAGTAATGACATTAAACAAAGAAAAATAATAAGGGTTCAAAAATGTGAAACATTTTTTCTGTGATGAGATCACTGGAAATGCCTGGAAGTGCTAAAAGTAACTGATGGCTTGAGTAAGTAAGTGGCTATTTTCAAGTGTATAATGGACAGATTTCCCAAACACAGGTACAGGTCAAATGTAACCAAAAGATCCAGTCGGGTTCCCCGATCTTTCCCAAGCGTGCCGCTGGCCCCGCAGGAAGCCAGTTCCAGGAATGAGGGAAACACAGGGACAGGCTCTGTTGATGACAGGGACAGGCTCTGTTGGTGACATGGTGAAATTTTGCCAAATTTTGTGTGAAAGCCTCATACTATTCCATATTGGAAGAGCAATGCACACACATCTATGATTAGCTAGTGTGTTCAAATAACTCCAGTTCCAAGTTCCACAGAGATTCCATCAAAGGGGACCTTTTCTGGGCCTTTCCCAGGATAGTGTCCATCCCAAACACCCCAAGCCTCCAAGCTCATAATCAGAAAAATTATGTTTTCGATAATAAGTCAATTACTTTCCAATAATCTTTCAAAATAAAGCTGCTTTCTTTTTGCAAAGCAAGCAAATCCCATAGAAACAAAACAAGACAAAAAAAACACAAAAAACACGATTATTTCCTAAAAGGACTAGAAGAAAACAAAGGGAAAAAACAGTATTTTCCAATTTAGGAAAACATCTTTATAATAATGTAATTTACAGTATAGAGAAGGGAGTTTAAAAAGCCCAACAGTAGTCACAGGAAAAGTCTGTTATTTACATTTAAGGAAGAACCATGGGAAAATGTAGTAAAAATATATTCAGATGTAAAGGAATGATTCTTACAGCCTCAGGGTAGTGGTTATTTCTGGGAACAGAAGACATCTTAGAGCATATGTATTATACTTCATTTCATAAAGAATATAGAGAGCTCTGAAGCAAAGTGTTATCATCTATTAAGTCTATGAGATAGGCATATAAATATCATGTTTACCACTGTGTATTTGAACTATTTCACAATTTCAAAATAAGATCCAGCTGGCTGGTGTGGGTCAGTGGTTGGGTACCCACCTATGAACTAGGAGGTCACAGTTTGATTCCCTGTCAGGTCACATGCCTGGGTTTCAGGATTGATCCCCAGTAGGGGGCGTGCAGTAGGCAGCTGATCAATGATTGTCTCTCATCATTGATGTTTCTATCTCTCTATCCCTCCCTCTTTCTCTTTGAAATCAATAAAAATATATTTTTAAAAAAGAAAAAGATCCATAGAACAGTAAAATGAACATAATTACCTAAGACTTAACCACAGAACTATCCCTTATCCCATCCATTGCCTTTTAAAATCATCAACAGTTTCCTAGCATTTCCAAAACACACGGAGGCCAAGAGGGGCCCATCACATATTTCCCCGTGTGTCACTGTGACTCTCCAAGACCACAGAAGGGGCAGCGTCTGTTACCTTGGTGATGGTTAGCACGATGTCAGTGGATGTGACCAGAGGGTGGGGGTTTCCCATCAGCCTGTAGCCAATCACCTGTGGAAGCACCATGCTGATTGGCTGACCCAGCATGACAGCCTCTGCTTCGATGCCACCCACACCTGCAAGGAGGGGCATGATAAAACAATGCTTCATTACTCTCACCGTATCCCCAGGCAGAACTCAGAGTCATTAACAGGCAACAAACCCAGTTACAACATTACTAGTTACTAGAACAGAGTTATGCTTCTAAAAGGAGCAATGACCTTCTCCCTCCCCACAGACTTTTTAATGAGTGTTACTCAGAGTGTGGTTCCTCAAACACCTGCATCAAAATCCCTTTGATTCCAACCGAGTGGACGGGGGTGCAGGAACCGCCACTTGTAACACACACACACAGGTGATTTCAGTTATTCTAAATGACCCCCACCCCTATTCCGGTTCACGCGTCCAAACAAAGGCAGGAGGCATTTTTCTGGGCACTGGAAATACAGCGGCCAACAAAGCAGGCACAAATGCCTCTCCGATTCTGTGGTCACATAAACCCATGCTCCCGGGAGCAATGGCACCAACATAAGCCAACGCACAGCTGCAGCACAGAACACACGGAGGACACTCACCCCACCCGAGGACGCCCAAGCCGTCGATCATGGTGGTGTGCGAGTCCGTGCCCACAAGGCTGTCGGGGTAGTAATATCCATCCTGATCGAACACCACTCTGGCCAAATACTCCAGGTTCACCTGGTGGATGATCCCAGAGCCGGGGGGGATGATCCGCATGTTGCGAAAAGCCTGAGAGCCCCACTAGAATTGAAACACGGGAGAACACGCTGAATGCCCGAGGTGCTCCCGTGCAGCCCAGCTCCCGCACCTCTCTCTCCCTCGCACCCACATCCGGAAAGGTCACCCGTGGGCCAAACTCTGTCCATACCTTTAAAAATTCAAATCGTTCTCGATTCCTTTCAAATTCCAGGTCTTGATTCTTCTGTAAACTGTCTACCCTGTCGGAGAGAAACACCAAACGTATAAAATTTAAGAGTTAGAACGTTACTTGTCAAATTGATTGGAAATGAATAAACAAAATGGTAATTTTATCTGCAGGCCCGCTGGGTAGTGCTGTACATTCATTCACGTGGGGAAGGAAAGGTAATCAGCAGAAGTAAAAAGAATAATGATTTGATTGAAGTGACTCCTACAATCCCTTTAAACATGGTGGGTAGAAAATGGTAAGTGAACTTAAGTTTGAATGAATTCAATCACCATGTGCGACCCATCGGAACGGACTCAGGCATTCCTGACGACACCAGCAGCTTAGACAGTTAAAGAACCCTTGTTCCTCTCCTCCCTCCTCATCCCCAGTCTCCCAGCAACTCCTGTCCGGGCGGAGCCACGGCTGGGCTGGCATTTCCACCTGTTTATGTTGGGAAACAGGGAGCAACTGGTGCTGGGAGGACAGGCATTTACAGAATCATCATCTCCTCTCTCTCGGACAGAGGTCCGGAAGAGGATGGGGCCGCCCAGGAATGTCTGTAGAGCCCAGGCTACATGCCGAGGTTTACTCAAAGCCACTCAGCCCTTCGGGAATGACACCGGCCACTCAGGGCGTCAAGACACTTTCCCAGGATTTTTGTGATCCAACTGCATTGTGTTGACGCAAGGTAGAGTAACTCATCGTTGCAACTTGGCGGATTCGGCACACAGGGGGCGCTCATACATTGTATGTTTTGGATTGCCTGAACATGGGGAAGGTAGTGAAATTAGTAGCTTAGACCCAAGGATGGCTTTGTTAATAGCTAACACTTACTGACATTCCTAGGAACAGCCCTTCTCTACTCCCTTCTCATCCACAACCTCATGACATGAAAATACTACTATTCTAATGTTTTATTTTTCTCATTTAGTCCCTATAATGACCCTTTGAGTTGGGCCCAACTAATATCCACATTTTTCAAGAGGAAACTGAGACACAGAGAGGGTAAAAGCTTGCTCAGGACCACACAGCAGGTAAAGGTGGAACTGGAACTCAAACCGGAGAGTCCGACTCCAGTACTGATGCTCTAACCCCTGTGCCGTGCTGCCTCCCGGAGCTGCTGCTGCGGAGACAGGAGCGGTCACGGTGGTCGTGGGAGTGACCGCAGCCAGCACAGTAACCGCAGGAGCTAAAGTCTAGGATTATGTCCCCGGTGCCAAGTGTGAACGCAGTCAGGTACTACTGTCACCCCACCGTGAAGAAGAGGAAGCTGAGGCACAGGAAGTTTAGTAATTCATCCAAGGTCAGGTGCATGCAAGTCCCAGAGCTGAACCAGGCCTGATGGTCCTGGGCCCCTCCTTCCACCCCCACACTCCTCCTCCGCCCCTTTCCTTCAGTGATGGGTGCTCTGCAGAGCCCGCCTCTGCCGCACGCAACACAAAGAGCAAAAGCAGCATGTGCACCGCCGCCTGGAATTCAGGCTTCCCTCTGGCACCCGGGACCCAGGCTTCCCTCGCAGCCCAGGCTTCATCCAGAAGGACGTCGTCTAATTAGCATATTACCCTTTTATTATTATAGATGGTACTCTAGAAATTCACCAACAGTGGAGATAAGTTTTCACACTCTCAAAATCTGGTCGGAAATTGTTACGATATTCTTGTTGAGATTTTAAAAATGGTTATTTCTGAGATAACTTTGTAAAGCCTTACAAGAATGTGTTAGTTAGATCCTCAATGCCTAAAGATGATGTGAGGTGAATTAATATTATTCAAACCATGCAAAGAGCTTGGAAGTATTTAACTGAAAAATTTACCACCCTACCACCTCTACCCCATTTTTCTACTTCATTTCTGGAAAAAGCTGGAAATATGCCCACAGCACACAGTTCCACAAAGATTGAGACATATCCCATTTGATTCCTTACAAACATGAGGAAAGTGACTAGGAGGTCAAATTGCAAAACCAAATGCAAGAAATAAAACAAAACGTCACCAATGAAAACATTTCTAACAGAAATGTTCTGTTTAATTAGAAAAGAAACAAAACAGATCTGCTAGATTTGGGTATCAATTTAGAATCAAAGTTCACCTTATATTTGCTGTTTTATAAAAATACTAGATGCCCAGTGCACGAAATTCATGCAGGGGGAGAGGGAGTGTCCCTCAGCCCAGCCTGCACCCTCTCTAATCTGGGATGCCTTCAGGGATGTCCGGCAGCTCATTTAGGCCCAATCACAATCAAGGATTGTTTCCTCCCAACTACTTACCTGTCTGCATGCCTGATTTCTCCTAACTACTCCACTGCCAGCATGATTACTGCCTAACTGCTCCCCTGATGGCCCAATTGCCCCTAATTGGTTGTCCCTAACTGCCCTCCCCAGCTGGCCTGGTCACTCCTAACTGCCCTCTCCTGTAGGCCTGGTTGTCCCTAATTGCCCTCCCCTGCTGGCCTGGCCACCCCCAACTGCCCTCCCCTGCAGGTCTGGTTCCCCCCAATTGCCCTGCCCTTCAGGCCTTATCCCTCCCAACTGTCCTCCCTTGCAGGCCTGGTTGCCCTAACTGCCCTCTGCTGCTGGCCCGGTAATCCCCAACTAACCTCCCCTGCAGGCCTGGTCCCCTGAAATTGCCCTCCTATGAAGGACCAGTCCCTCCCAACTACCCTCCTCTGAGGGCTGGTCACACCCAGCTGTCCTCCACTGCAGGCCTCTTTGCTCCCAATTGCCCTCCTCTGCTGGCCTGGTCACCCCCTAACTGCCTTACCCTGCTGGCCTATTGCCCCCCAACTGTCCTCCCCTGCAGGCCTGGTCACCTCCAACTGCCCTCTCCTGCCAGCCATCTTGTGGTGGCCATCTTGTGTCCACATGGGGGCAGCCATCTTTGACCACATGGGGGTGGCCATAGTGTCTGCTGGAGTGATGGTCAATTTGCATATTACCTCTTTATTATATAGGATTTTTGTACTACAGTATAAATGGAAATGCCAATAAAAAATTAAAATCAGAGTTGATGATGTCAAGGTTTAAAAGTTTAAAAAATCACAATGAACTTGGTGATAACCAAAAATAATTAATTGCTTAAGTCAGGAGGACTATGAATGGTGAGAAGTGAGAAAAGATTTCAGACATTAAAACAATTGCAATTCTGTCTCCACCAGGCCAGCAAAATGAGGTAAATCCATCCACAATGAGAGTTTCCCAGAAACATCACGTTGGCCATGATTTTGTGAGGCCACTTTTCATGGCTTCTGAAGTGGGACTTCAGGAAAACATCATTAATCTCAAATAGGATATTTTGTGTATGTATTTTTAACTCTTCCTTTGAAATCAAACATTAAATTAAGCTCATGTGATGTAAGAGGAGGGGGTATGGGGGAGACATGTTGCCTAAGGATAGATTTAGAGTCCAAAGGAAAGGAAGAGCTGGCTAGCATCTGGTCTGTCTGTTCCAAGAACTGTCAGTTACAACGCAGATTTCTCTTTATCTTGGATTTATTTGGTTTGGATATTGGCAACACAACTGGAGAATAACCACATTTCTCTTGAGGCTGTATAGAACCTGCATAAATCCCCAAAGAAGCAAATAACAGTTTCCTTTTCTCCTCTGAATGGATTGTTTCATATTCTTAAATGCTATTTCATTATAAGATAATAGCTTATTGCAAAACTAAAAAGCAATTACGATCCTAGAAATAACTGCACCTCACTTTCTAATATTGTACACCTGGCTCACGGAGCTGTATGACATAAGCAGGTTCCAAGTGTTATGTAGCACATTGTAAATATAACTGTAAAAGTTATCTTACAATAATTTAATAAATCATTCCCTTTTATCATATATTTAGAACGCTTCTACATTTTCATTATTATAAATAATGCTTTAATAAACACTAGTAAATCATTAAGCTTTTTTCTGTATCTGTATCAGTTAAGCTTGGAAATTCCAGGACAAAGGTTATCAGTTTTTAAGGGTCTTGATACAAACTGTTTTCATCATTTTTAAATTACAGTGCTATCAGCAGTGCATAAAAATGTCTCCTTCTTTACACCTTTATAATTAATAATGTTTACAAACTTGAGTATGTTGATTTCCTTTTGTGAATGTGATGTACCACTTTAATCAATTCGCTATGTTGAACAATCACTGTGCCTCTAGAAAGAACCCCTCTTGATCATGATGGTAGTATTTTTTAATGTATTGTTGAATTTGATTTGCTAGTATTTTGGTTAAGATTTTGCATTGGTATTGATATTGGTCTGTAGATTTCTTTTTTTGCATATGTTATCCCTGCCAGAATTTGGTATTGGTAGTATTAGCCTCATAAAAATGAGTTATGATGCATTGCATCTCCTCCAATTTTTTTGAAAGACTGAGAAAAATAGGTATTAAATTTTTTTTGAATGTTTGATTAGAACCCACCCAGTCCTGGGGTTTTATGTCTTTGCAGGTTTTTGATAATCTCAATTTCCTTACTGTTGATTGGTCTATTTAGATTTTCCAGTTCTTTTAAAAAAATATTTTTTATTAATTTCAGAAGGGGAGAGTGAAAGTGAGATAGAAACATCAATGATGAGAATCACTGATTGGCTGCTTCCTGCATGTCCCCTACCGGGAATTTAGCCACAACCCAGGCATGTGCCCTGACCGGGAATTGAACAGCGACCTCCTGGTTCATGGGTCGATGCTCAACTACTGATCAGCACCATCTGGACAGATTTTCCAGATCTATATGATTCAGTGTAAAAAAGTTATATCTAAAAAAGTTATTTCTAAGAACTTTTCCATTTCTTCTAGGTTATTAAATTTGGAAGCATGTAGTCTTTCCTACTATTCTTGCATGGTCCTTTCTATTTCTGTGGTGTCCACCGTAACTTCTCTTTTTTCATGTCTGATTTTGTCTATTTTTCTTTTTTTTCTTAGTGAGTCTAGCCAGTTTGTCAATTTTATTAATCTTTTAAAAAACTAGCTCTTGCATTAATTTTTCTATTGTCTTTTTTCTTTATATTTCTTTTAGTTCTGTTCTAATTTCTATTATTCCCTTCCTTCTGCTAACTTTGGGCTTTATGTGTTCTTCTTTTCCTAGATCCTTATATTAAAACTAGAAGCCCAATGCACAAAATTTGTGCAAGGGGATTGACCCTCACAACTTCAGTGGCTTGCCTGGGCCCTTGCGGTCCCCGCTTTGTCCAAAAGATATCCAGCTGTCTGGTTTAAATAGCATATTATGCATTACTCTTACAGATATGAGGTTGTTTACTTGGAATTTTACTTTTCTCTAAGGTAGACCTGCCCCAGAACGTAAATTTCCCTCTTTTCACCACTTTTCCTCTATCCCTAAAGTTTTGATATATCATATTGTTATTCTCATTTGCCTATGTGTCTTTTGATCTCTCCTTTTATTTCTTCTTTGATCCAGTCATTGTTTAGTACCATGTTGCTCAATCTCCACATATTCATAGCTTTTTCCATTTTCCTTTTGCATTTGACTTCCAATTCCAATGCATAGTGGTCAGAGAATATGCTTGATGAGATTTCAATCTTAAATTTGTTGAGGCTAGCCTGGCCAAGTGTGCTTCCATGTTTGAGCATCAACCTGGAGATCACAGTTCAATTCCCAGTCAGGGCACATACATGAATTGCTATCTTGGTTGCCACCTGGGGGCATGCAGGAGGCAGCTGATCAATGATTATCTCTCATCATTGTTGTTTCTCTCTCTCTCTCCCTATCCCTTCCTCTCTGAAATCAACTATATATATATATATATATATATATATATATATATATATATACACACACACACACACACACACATATATATATATATATTTTAAAAATTATTGAGGCTAGTTTTGTGTCCCATTATATAGTTTACCCTTGAGAATGTTCCATGTGCAATAGAGAATAATATATAATCTGGTGTTCTGGAATGAAATACTCGGCAAACGAGATTATGCCCATTTAGTCTAAGTGTGGAGTAAGACCAATACTTCCTTTTCGATTTTCTGTTTGCATAATCTATCCATAGGTTTCAATGGGATATTTAGGCCCCCTACAGTAATCATGTTTTTTGTCAGTTTCTCCCTTAAGTTCTGTTAGCAGTTGCTTTAGATATCTTGGTACTCCCTTACTGGGTGCATAGTTATGGATAAATGTCATATCTTCTTCATGTATTTCCCCCTTTATCAGTATACCATGTCCATCCTTGTCTGCTTCCTTTTTATTTTGAAATCTACTTTGTCTTATATAAGTATGGCTGCACCTGCTTTTCTTCGGATGCCATTTGCTTGGACTATCATTTTCTACCTTTTCAGGTTGAGCCTATCTTTGTCTTTGCAGCTTAGATGTATCTCTTAAAGGCAGCATATGGTTGGACTTTGTTTTTTGATCCAATTGCCACAAAATCAGAGCATTTCCATTTAGGGTGATTATTGACATCTGAGTATTTCCTCTACCCATTTAAACCTTTTGCTTTAGGGTAGCTCTGTGTCTCTATTGTTTTTCCCTGGGGCTTCTGTCTGTTGTTTTAGTTTGGTGGCATTCTAGAATATTTTCCTGTGGGGTTTTTTTATGTTAAATTTTTGTTGTAACCATTAGGTTTCTGTAATAGAAAGTTTCAGATAGGCAGCAGTCATTTTGCTCCTGTTAGCATCTTATCTCTATTTCCCAGTGCAAATTCAGACCTTTACCCCCCTTCTTTTATATTTTTGTTATCACAAATTATCTTCTTATGCTGTGAGTGCCTTTCCAAATTGCAGTAGCTATGTCTTTTCTTTAAAAAAAACAAAAACATAAATGTTTTTTTTACCTCTTTTAATCTTTACACTACATTTAAGGGTATAATAATCTTTTCTAAATAAAGGATTGCCATTTCCTGTTTCTGTCTGTCCGTGAATCATCTTAGACATGTCTGTTTCAGGGCTTGTGGTGATAAACTCCCTCAGCTCCTGTGAATGGAAGTCTTTATTTCTTCTTCATATCTAAAGGACACCTTTGTTGGATATATTATTCTTGCCTGGCAATTTCTCTCTTTCAATAGTTTGACTATTTTATTCCACTCTCCCCTAGCTTGTAGGGTTTCTGCTGAAAAATCCTATACTTTAATGAGATTTGCTTTATAATTTATTATCTTCTTTTCTCTGGTTGCCATGAGAATTATTTCTTTATCATTAATTTTTGACATTTTTAATGTATGCCTTTAGAGAAGGCCTTTTTGGATTGAGATACTTAGGTGTTCTGTTAGCTTCTTGAATTCGAGGATCCATCTTCCCATAGGTTGGGGAAGTCTCAGTGATTGTTTGAACAGGCTCTCTGTTCCCTTCTCCTTCTCTTCTTCCTCTGGCATACCCATTATTCTTATATTGCTCTTTCTGATGGAGTCCAATAGTTCTCTAAAGTTCTTCCATTTTTACCCCCCCCCCCAATCTCTTTCTTCTCCCATCTGTGCCATTTTAGATTCCTATCTCCAGAATCACCAATGTTTCCTCCATCTAGTCAGCTCTTTTTCCTCCATCTGGTCAGTTCATTCTTCATCTCTTTTATTTAGCTCTTCAGTTACAAAATTTCTATTTGGTTCTTTTTTAAAGTTTCAGTCTCTTTGGTTCATGGATTTTATTTGTGAGTTCATTAAACTGCCTGAGTTTTCTTGTATCTTACTGAGGTTTTTTTCCATACATGCAACCTAGAATTCTCTTGTCATTTAAGGCACACATTTCCCTATGTTTATTTTCTGGAGATTTTTCATTACCTTTCTGAGCTGCCTTGTTACCCTGGTTATTGGATGGACTGTTTCTCTGTCGAGGCACTTATGGGAATGAGATCTGCCTTTTTAAGAGTGTTTAGTGGATCTCTATCAGCAGGTTGATAGGAAGAGGTCTTTCTTTTGGTTTCCAATAGGTGGCGCTGAAACATGTTTTTATTTTATCTTGAACTGCTCTGGCTTCTCAGCTCTCTGAAGGGCAGTGGGAAATGCCCTGTATTCTCTGGGGGGGTGGGTGTCCCCTCACCAGGCCACCTGGGTCTCAGGACACCGCCCTCAAGGGGTAAATGTGGTGGGCAATGGTGCTCCAAATTGGTGGAATCCCAGCACTGCAACCTGCAACGAGATGCTGCTGGCCGTGTGTACTGTCTCAGCCTCTGCTGTGCTCAGCTGCAATGGGTTGGACGGGATGGGCTGGGGGAAGCCAAGTCATGCATGTATGGCTTTGCTCTCCTCCCACAATAGCAGCTGCCACCCTGCTAATGCCAGACTTTGGGAGGGTGAGGGAAGGCAAGCTCTAGGAGGAAGGAATGTAAGGAGGGAGGTTTATAGCTTTGTTTAGTGCCTGGTAATGGCAGCTGCTGATCCACAGCTGCTGCAATTGTGTGTATCTGCCCATTACTGGGTTCAGCTGTCCTATGTGCTGGCCACTCAGGCAGGGATGTGGACTCTACCCCTCTACTCCTCAGGACTGCAGAGTGTGCCCACTGTGACCCCTATTTTTATTTCTCTCCTCTCCCTCCTTCCCGTTAGCTCTGATTTGCCCACCTTCAGATGCTTTAATGCATGGATCTCTCAGACGTTTTTGTGTGTTAAGCAGGGAATCCTCTGTTTAATTACAGCTGCTCAACTTCTAACTCCAAGGAGAGAGATCAGAAGGACCTCTCACAATGCCATGATGCTGACATCACCTTCCACATCTCCCTTTATATATTAAGAATAATAATCCTTGACCATATTTGTTGCAAATATTTTTCAAGTTATTTCCTGTTAACTTTGAAGTCATTAAATCTATAGATTTCCTCCTTTTGTTTTATTCATTGCTTCAAAATTTAGAAATGTATTTTTCCTAAAGATTTTTGACACATATGTTCTTGAATTTTCTTCTAAATTTTATGACTTAATTTTTTTATATCAGTGCCTTAATTCATATGAACTGCTATGTCTACCAAATAATCAATTTTCCCAGATTATATGCAGAATAATTATTTATTTCCTCACTGATAACTGATAAGAACTTCTAGGTTAAGATACCAGCCTTCTAGCAGGCCCTGGCTGCCCTCTCTTGTGTAATCTTGCAATTACTTCTGTGACTTTGGACTTAATTGTGTAACTTGCTTTGACTAATGTCCTTGTGACTAGAAGTGAACGTATGCCAGTCCTGCTCTGGGCCTCAGGATATTGTGGGCTCCTGCTTGCCTTCGTGAGCCTGTGAGGAGTGGCTTTCTCCTCCAGCATGGGCCCTAGGAGAAGCTCACAGGGAGCGGTGCTGTCCCCGCGGCCCCGCGGATGTGCAGTGCAGGGCCAGCAGCGACCAGCCAGGGCTGGATGAAGCAGAGCTGCCCCTGCACTCAGCTTAGATCAGCTGACCTCCCAGTCAACTTGTAGACGTGTAAGAAATAAATTCTCATTGTCGACTGCCATGGAGATGTTAGCGTTACTGGAAGAATTCTGGGGAAGAGTGAAAGGAGTATCAAACAATAGAAGAAAGAACCAAGGAGAAAAAAGGCACAGGCATTATAGAAACCGACACGGAGAGGGGGGAGATAGTCAAGATATAAAATAGTTACTTGGGATTAAAAAATAAAAAAAAGAGGAATAAGAATCCAGTGGTTAAAAACAACAAGAAACCTTAAAGTCAAACAAATACTTGCATTGACAAACTCTCATGGCAGAAATTCATGTGAATGTTTTCCCCTAAGACTTTAAGCTGGATCTAAACACAGGCTGCTCACTCCAAGAAGTAAACAGGGAAAAAAAAAGGGGGGGGGGGAGGGAGAAAAAGAAAAGGGATTTTAAAAAATTTACCTTCACCCACAAAATAAAAAGCTTCACTGCAAAATCTATATTAAGTTTGAGTTTTCCTAAATATTCCTTTTAAATATTTTCTTCATTTATTTAATTACACACATACACACACACACACTCACACACACTCACACACACGCGCGTGCGCGAGACTTACACTCCAATACTTTGCACAGAGCAGAAAGCCCAGGTATTCGCTTTAATCTCTCACCTTCTGTTGAAATCAACTTGGATGGAATGATCAATCACAAGGTCGGCAGGGCAGATGGGGTTTATTTTCTCTGGATCTCCTCCTAACTTTTTCACAGCGTCACGCATCGCAGCAAAGTCTACCACGGCTGGCACACCCCTGAGAAAAGAAGGGATTGAGCAGAAGATAAATCTGTCAAGCATGTGTCACTGTGTTTTTTAGCTTTTGTCTCCACTGACAAAATATTGGCAATGGAACTCTCATCAGGGAAGCGAACAATGACTTGGGAAAGTGAAAGTTTCTGACCACATTTCCTTGAGTAGAAATCACCTAAGGAGTAAGTGCTATGGCTGAGCTGTAGCTCTATGTGCAGTTTTATCACTGCATTAAAGTTAACAACCAACATGGTCTAAGTAGAGGAACTTTGGGAAAGTTGGTGCTTAAAAACTCTGGAACTTTTACTGCCATGACTGTTTCCCATTCACATGGTAGGCTGACCAAGACCTAGAGAAAACATATGAACACAGATTCAACGTCAGACCAAACTTAAAGGAATGAATATAATTCAGAGAAATAGGTTATAAATCAAATGTATAAGTGAATCCTTCCTTTCAGTTATATTAGAGAATAAAATTAAATTTGGGTATCTTCGTTTAGTAAAATAAAATTGGGCCTCCAGAAGGAGTAAATTAATATTATTTAAAAATAGAAAGGTAATGAGTGCTATCTTAAAAAAGAGGCCGATGGGGAGCAAAGAATTCTGGGAACAGCAGGATGTGAACTGGGGCTTCACGGCAATAGGTCAGGCATTCTGAACTCCTATCACTCCTCACGGGACTGCACGTCAGTGTTCAACTGCACATCAATGTTCAAGTACAGTTGTTTGAACCTTGTCTCCTGAGTGGCAGGACGTGGGGGGGAAAGATTCCAAGATAGCTCCACTCCTATGTCTGTCCCCCTTCGCTGGCACGTTTAGGACTGCAGTCTTCAAGACCAAGGCAATGACCTTTGTCACTGGAAGAGGTGGAGGGAACACATCCCAGCTTGCCTGAAACAAGCTCTTGCTGCCTAGTATCAATAGCTCCCTTTCATTTTCAAAAGTGTCTGGGTATTGGGTGATAAATTATATAATCACTGTGGTTGGCTTTTTATTTAAAGCTTTCCTTAAAGGCTGACGAGGAAGGCAGAGAAGAAGAGAACAAAGGCTCACGTGAAATCCTGCAGGATGACCCGAGCAGGCTTAAAGGGCACTTCTATGTTCTTGTGCTGCATGACATTCCAGTTTAGGATATTTTCAATGTCATTTTTCTTCACCAGAAATTCATCACAGTTCCGAATGGCTGCCTCCAGGAGAACTCTGATCGAAAATGGTAAGCGTCCTAGGATAAAGGACAAAGCATAGCAAAACAAACAAAAATCATGAGCCTCTTTATCAGAAGAGATCTTTAAAGCCCATCTGTATATAATTTACATATATAAAAGGCTAATATGTAAAGTGTCTCCTTGGGATTTTGACCAGGAGACCAGGAGTTTGGCTGCTCGCTATGATATGCGCTGACCACCAAGGGGAAGCACAGAATGAAGGAAGGCCCCAGTCAGCAGCCAGAAGAAAGGTCTGGCAGGTAAACAGAGGGCCCAATCAGCCCTGATTGCTGGCCCAGCCTAGGGACCCTACCTGTGCACAAATTTCATGCACCAGGACTCTGCTCTTGATATAAAGCATTAGAATATTTTTCCAACAGAGAAAGAGGGTAAATGTAAACTGATTTTAAAAGTTTAAAATGTGAAGGTATTGAAGATACTGAATGGATTTAGGACAAATTCAGTACTAGAAAATACCCACACACTAGGCAAAAACAAAGTATTACAGTTAATTCTTTCAGAATAAATGGTTGCCTCACAGGTCATGAAAGAAATCAATGTAGATATTTAATGTATTATATGTTAGCAAGTGAAACACACACACACACACACACACACACACAATATTTCTCATGAAAACTAATGTCCAAGAAATGAGAAAATAACTCTTTTACAATTACTATAACATACATCTCTCCAAGGAAATAAAATCCCAAACAGCATATAGTGTGGTAACTGGGATTTCTAGGATAAAACAATGGTAATTCATAAGAAAAACCACTTTGCTTATTTAAAAAGGAAATGTTCTATCCTGAAATATGAAATTATTCCCCAATATTATCTGGAAAAGACAAGAGTTTAAAGATAGAAAAGCACAGAATTTGGAATTAAAAGGCATGCTTTTGTCCTATTCTGTGTAACCACAAAGTTGTTATTTGACCATGTCATTGACTCTCTCTGGAATTCAGATTCCTCAGCACTTGTTGCACTTTATAAACATGATCTCTTGGGTTGTTATTCAGATTAAATGATATAATACATATGTTCAAACACTCCATAACCTATAAAATGCTATGTAAATGCTACATGAATATCATCATTATTACTATTTAAAAATGAGCAATCCAAGGTGTTTGTGTGTTTATAAAGCTTAACCCAAGACCTGTTCTCTGCTATGCCTTTTTCAACTCTCCTAAAAGCTAATTAATTACATAGCATAATTATTATGCAAATGAGATACCAATTGCTGCCAAAGCACTTACTTCATAGAGCCATGTACCTACCATATCTTGAATCGTCCAATTTATTCAAATTGAAGAATTTCTTTCCTGGCTGTGCAGGATCCAATGGCTCAGCGAGGTGTGCAAATGGGTTGCTCATGGTTCCTGATGGCTATGTGTCCCTGAAAAGGAACAAGAACATTTAATTTCTACTCTCAGAGCTGGACCTCATTTTATTTTGATGAGTGTTTGTTTCTAAAACAATTATGGTACACATTTATTTCAAGAAATCACTCATTCTCTTTTCAGAGAGGGAGGTGGGATGTAAATGAATACATGAATGATCTTAGCAAATAAAATGGGTTTCTGTGAAGCTATTGTGAAACCCAGCATTCACCTCTGAAGAGAGCATAAAGTCCCAAACTTCTTTTGTCTTCTTTCTACAATTTCCCAACATTTCCCCACTGATAAAAAAAACAGGAAGAAATGAAATGAAGGATGTGTCTCATGGTAAATCCTGTTTATTTGAACAGACCTTTGAGCTGGACCCATGACTCGCTTGACAGGTAATATTATGCAACTGTATAAAACGTGGACTTTGGAAACGGGGATTTAAAAGCCACTGCTTTCTGTTGTAAGTCTCTGCAGCAATGTAAGTAAATGATAAATGTGCTGGTCAAAGTGTTCCTGACTCACTGTTGTATCTGACAACAACAGAGTGTTCACAGCAGGGAATCTTTAAGGTAACACTGAGATGGCATCAAGGCTCAAACTTCAATGATAGGTTTGCAGGAGACCCTCTACCCAGCACTGGGCAGAATGTCTCTTTTTATAAATTACTAGAGGCCCAATGGACAAAATTCGTGCACAGTGTGTGTGTGTGTGTGTGTGTGTGTGTGTGTGTGTGTGTCTGTGTGTATGTATATACCTCGGCCCAGCCTGTACCCTCTCCAATCTGGGACATCTCTCTCACAATCCAGGACTGCTGGCTCCCAACCGCTTGCCTACCTGCTTGCCTGATTGCCCCAAACCACTTCTGCCTACCAGCCTGGTCACCCCCTAACTGCTCCTCTGCCAACCTAACTGTCCTCCCCTGCCAGCCCAATTGCCCCCAACTGCCTTCCTCTGTTGGTCCTAACTGCTCTCTCTTGCCAGCCTGGTCACCCCTAACTGACCTCCCTTGTCAGCCTGGTTGATGCCTAACTGCTCTCCTTCCAGCCTGGTCTCCCAAACTGCCCTCCCCTGCAAGCCATCTTGTGGTGGCCATCTTGTGTCCAAATGGGTGTGGCCATCTTGTGTGTTGGAGTGACAGTCAATTTGCATATTGCCTCTTTATTATATAGGATAAGCAGTGAACAAGGGAGGACATTGCTTGTGGGCTCCACACAGATAAACAGTGATTTCAAATCATATATGTACAACTTAGAGCAGAACATTTCAGGGTGAGCGACAGAGACTTGCTCTCCATTCCTACCCCTTGGGCAAAAATCCTTTAATGAATCCATTCCCCAAAGTCTTAATTTTAAGATACGAATAGTAACATTTCCCTAATTGATCCAAAAATTTTATGAGTAAATATTCAATGTAATTTTGAGATGACTAATACAAACGATCAACACATTGCTGTAAAATGGGGGGAAAAATGTATAGCAAACAACTCTTTGTGGAGATAAAAAGTTACAAATGGATCTTTTATCCAAAGACAGGTCCCTATCTTCATCAAGACATAAAAGGGACTGGTTCCTTTACGAGGGACATTAGTTTCCAAATTAGGTCGGGAAGGAGGACTCAGTCTTACCATAAACCCCTTTGCATGGTTTGCATTTTTAGCTGTGTACACATATAACTTGGAAACAGGGTTTTGTAAAATGCTGTGTACACATATAACTTTGAAACAGGGCTTTGTAAAATGCTGTGTACACATATAACTTTGAAATAGGGCTTTGTAAGATGCTGTGTACACATATAACTTTGAAATAGGGCTTTGTGCATCTACTGTGTTTAAAGTCCACTGCTAGGTCGTTCTGGGGGAGGAAGCTGGCTGAGAAGCAGCCCCTGCCCTCCTGAGGCCACCAGCACGGGTGACAAGCCAGACACCTGATGGGGCAAGAGAAGCTGGAGGAAAGAGGGGGTTGGGTGCCAGCAAAGACATTCTCCTGGGAATGGCTTCTGTCCCCTGGTCCCTGTGGGTTTTGTAGGAGCTGCCATCATGGGGGGAGGAAAGTATCTGCCTCAGTTTGGACCAATCCACTTCCTTCTTTAAGAATTCTGGAACTGAAACGAAGAAAGGCTAGCAAGGGACAATGGAACATACTCAGCTGTGCTTATAGAAGTACTAGAGGCCCAGTGCATGAAATTCATGCGGGGGGGGGGGGGAAGGGGGCAGAAGGGGTGTCCCTCAGCCTGACCTGCACCTCTCACAATCAGGGACCCTTGGGGGATATCCTACTGCCAGTTTAGGCCCGATCCAGCAGGAATTCCTGTGGGATTGGGCCTAAACTGGCAGTGGGACATCCCTCTCACAATCCAGGACTACTGCCTCTTAACCGCTCTCCTGCCTGCCTACCTCCTAACCACTCTCTTGCCTGCCTCATTGCTCCTAACCGCCTCTGCCTTGGCCTCTACCACAGCAACTTCATCAGGAAAGATGTCCAGAATGACATCTGGAAGGTTGTTTGGTTGTCCAGTCTAATTAGCATATTATGCTTTTATTATTAAATACGTGCCCTAGAATCTGCATAGAATTACCTGGGATCTTTCTTGTTAAATATGAGTATTTCTGAGTATCCCCCTTGAATTACCAAATCATAATTGATTGGGAGTGGGGGGGGGGGGCAGGGAGTGTGTGTAGCAGGAATCAGTCTTTAATCTCCCAAATGTTTCAGACACATTTCAGTTTGAGAACCACTGGTGGACACTGTGGAGTAGGAGCTTACACTTAATTCAGGAGGCAGCGAGGTGCCAGGAGAGGTGTGTAAATGTATAAAAAAAAAAAAAAAAAAAAAAAAAAAAAAAGGAGGGCCAAGCTCAAAGGAGAGAGGGGTCACAACCACAATGCCTACACGGCCCAGGCAGGCAACCTACCCAGAGCGGGCAGCAGAGGGGCCGGCAGCCTGGGCAGGGTGTGCCCGTCTAAGGGATGGCAGCCTTTTGGCTCCAGCCACGGCCTGAGGTAGGAAGGCTGGATTTTTACATGCCCTCTCTTGACTTACAGATGTTGGTACATAATGTTTTATAAACTACTGTGTGTTGTGCCCCGTGATGGCCAACCAAACAGGCTGTGGGTCCTATTTGACTGCTGGTCTGTCTGTGAACTGTGTCCCAACCTGAACTGACAGGTGCCCTGGCCAGGAGGGATGGTAGGGTAACCAGACAGAGAAAAGTCAGGCTGGAAACTCTGGTGGAGGTAAGAAGCGTGCGCTGGACAGCGGAATCTGAAATGGAAGAGTAGTGGATGGAGCAAAAGCTGAAGAGGCAAGAGGCAGAGGAATGGCTGAGTGAATGGGAATCTCAGGGAGGAGAAACAATACTGATCTCCGGGTGCCAAGGAGACACCGTGGCTTCAGTATTTAAGGAGAGAGCGCGTTTAAGATGAAGTAGAACACAAAGTCAAGAGACTTGCCATTTATCCCACTAAATGAGGAACCCAAAAGGAAGGATAAAACCACATGGATAGCCTTAACTGGTTTGGCTCAGTGGATAGAGCGTCAGCCTATGGACTGAAAGGCCCCAAGTTCAATACCGGTCAAGGGCATGTACCTTGGTTGCAGGCACATCCTCAATAGGGGATGTGTAGGAGGCAGCTGATCCATGTTTCTCTTTCATCGATGTTTCTAACTTTCTATCCATCTCCCTTCCTCTCTATAAAAAAAATCAATAAAATATATTTAAAAAAACAAAACAAACAAACAAAAATACGCACATGGATACATAGGAGAAACAGGCTAGTTTTGTTTCGAGGAGTTTACAAACCTGTGGGCTCAGAAACCATTCCACTGACGGAGTTCTGGAGAATCTAAAATGGCTGCCATCCCTTCGGTCTGTCAGGGATGCTTCTGCCCCGGACTGAACTTTCCCGCCCCAAAAACCAGCAGCTGAAATGGCAGGACTGTTGTCTTGCCTGCCTGGAGTCGTTCAGGGGTCACCCAGAGCCTTGGTCTGCGCAGCCATTGTTACCTGTCCCCCCACCCTTGACTGAGCCACAGTCGGGGGCAAGAGCAGCAGCTGTGCTGTGGCTCACCCTGTCTCCCCACAAATGGATTTGCTTGGAAGCTGGGAAGCCACCCTTCCACAGGAGCCTGCAGCGGTCCCCTCACTCTGTGACCCTCCTCTCACACCCGGTGCAGGAGTCCCGGTGCTGAGCAATCCCGAGAGAAAGCCAACACAGCATGCCAAGGAGGCCAGGAGGGGAAAGGCCTTCGCTTGGGAACCGCCAGATCCAGAGCAGAATCCAGTGCTCCCTGGGCTCCTCCCTGCCCAGAATCCTCCCCCATCCCAAACGTGAGTGATGCCGTGCTCCTGCTGACTCCCAAACTGCCCCAATGTTGGGGGTTAGTCTAGGAATCCTACCAACTGGCCAGGGAGCCCTGCCTACTTTCCACGTTCACATTAAGCACCATGCGGTGTCCCTTCCTTTCTTTTCTTATCTCCCATCCTCCTCTGCTCTGCTCTGTCCCACATTTTTCAGTTTTACCTTCTCCCCATTCAATCTAATAAAAGAGACAGTCCCTGTGAATTTTTTAGGAAGGGAGTGTTGCCCTATCCTTTTGGAAGGGGAAGCGTTAGGAGGCATGGAGATACGTTTGGGCTGCTGCCTCTCCTGTCCCGCAGAATGAGGTGGCACTGCCTGGGGGAAAAGGGAGAAAAGCATACAGGAGGAGGAAAGGAGAACTGAGGAAATAGCATCTTTTCAGCTCTGAGGTTGGAGCTCATTCAGGACCTGTCCTCCCTGAACACCTGCCTTCAGAATGCGGGGCTGCTGACCAGACAGTCACATGGGACAGGCGAACGGTTCTTCTAGGAAAGGAATCTATAATATTAGGTCTAGTAATAATTAATGTCGTTTTCTAATACTTTATTAAATCGAATTTATTTAAACAATACAACAAAATTTAATCAACAATATAGTTGCCGTTGTTTTCTACTACTTGTGCCCAATGC